TGCCACGCTAGTAGTGACAAGTGCCTTACTAGTAGTAACAAGAAGCTTTGAGGGGTGCGGAGTCACTGCGGAGTGAGAGCTTTGGGAGCTGGATACCACGTTAAGGGATGTCTTCCGGAGACCGGACAGACAGAACCAGTGGTGACATGATATTCTGCCGGAGTCGTTCAAGGGATGTAGACTTTGGGTCTTTGGAGGATGAACTGTGCCATCCAAATCCGCATTTAACAAGAACACCTAAGAACAGGCAAGCTGGTTGTATGGCCCATTCTTGCAACAAATTCATGCGGAAGGACAAAGTTATGCACATTTTCTATGGGAATCGAGCGCCAATTACCGCTGCAAATTAGTAGCTGTTGTTACCGACGGTCCGCTTGGAACCTCGATGATGGCGCTGTGCTTGGGTGACTTTCGTTACGTCACGAGGTTTCAGCAAAGCAAAGATGCTCTCGGAGGATGGCAGGTGCTTCACCTTCGACGCTTCTGCCAATGGCCACTTGTCTTCTGTTGGGTATGCATGCAGGTTGACGATGTGAGCTCTGGGGATTTGAAGGGTCCAGAGAAGGTGGTTTGATCCACAGGGTCTTATTTTTTTTCCGTTTGGTCCAATGACTCCTGTGGGTAGTGCATTGCTGCACACATGGGAAGCACCCACACTCTCCATTGGATTTGAAGTTCCCAAGGGGATCAACCAGGATAATCAAATCAATTTGTGTTTGAGTGATTTTGTGTGTGTGTGCGCGTGCGTGTCCCCGTTTTGATCCTTTTGCTCTACCTGACCAACCAACACACCCTTCCAAGCCTGAGTCTTCACACAACAGTTTTTCTTCAAACACAGAAGTTGGAACCATGTTGTCCCACCATCAACTTCCATCCATGCCCGGGCCTGTCGAGGCTATGCCCGTGGTGAGGGTGTGGGTGCTGCCTTGCTCAGCCTTGATGATGCTGGTGCTGTGGCAGTTCGTGCCAGCCTAGCCGGTGCGGCAGCCAACCAGGATGGCCGCTCGGCGTCGCTGACGGCGCCGAACGGGCCCTCACAGCAGGCAGTGATCCGCCGTGCGTGGCTGAGCTGAGTCAGTGAAAAGGGCGGAAAGAGGTGGGATGGGGAATGTAGTAATAAGTAATATATGTGGAATGGTACAGATCAAATCTTTCAGCGAAGGGAAAGACTGAGTAGAATCATGGGATTTCATTTCATATGAGTCCTGAACTGTCTAATTATACCATAGGCTCTCACTTAGAAGCATTTCAGAATAGATTTGGATGTTGACATCATTTTCCATCCTGTGTATGACAAGCCACCTTGCAGGGAGGTTCTGCTCAAGCAGGTAGGATCTGGCTACAGAAAAGATCAGAAAAGTTGTCCTTCCAAATCTTTCCCTGCATTTTAGGCTTTCCTTGCCGATGTCTGCAGTGGAACCAAGAGTGTGCAACATCGACTTGGTCCTAAAGCCCAAAGACGTCACATCTCAAACATTCCCGATCCACTCTCTCAGGGGTCCAACCCTTTCTGCACTTGCTGAGCAGAACTCGCTCACAACCACTGACTAAAGACTCCTTCAACGGCCTCCATATCGCTGCAAGAACGAATTCCAACTCGAGACTTAACAACTTTAACACCCACAATCCCCCGCAATTATCCCAGTCCCGGCACCTTTGCCTTTGCACTGTTCCGAACACCATGAGTAGCTTCTTGCTCCTAGTAGTAAGGCCAGGAGCCGCTAGTGCGTCCTTGCTCCTAGGTTGGAGGCCATCGCTCTTCGGAACGCCCAGGTTGTTGGAAGCTTCCACGGACTCCAAGGATGTGGGGCTCATCGAATGCCACGGCACTGGAACTGCCTTGGGCGATCCCATTGAGGTCGATGCTCTCAAGGGCGTTTTGGGCGAGTCTCTCGGTACAACCGAAAAGGGGCGGTCGTCCCCGCAACCCAACCAAAGCAATCCGTGCATGTTGGGTCTAAACTTAAACTGAAAACTGAGGGAATTGGAACAGCAGTTTTGGTCATGTTTTCCCAGGGTCAGTAGGACATCGTGGGGTTTGACAAGAGTATGTTTTAGTGGACTGTGCTTTGAGCTAGCAGCTAGCTTGGTTGTGGCAGAGATAGTAGTGCGGTTTTCTTGGAGCTTGGGAATTTATTGTAATGATATGCAATTACTCACTTGCCAGGCCCAAGCAAGGGTTTCCATTATTTTCATGGTGCTATGTTTGCGCTAGTGCAGACGTAGTAGGACTCTCATGGTGTGAAGCCGTGCGTCTCTCTCTCTCTCAGTGCACAATTGAAGCCTTGTAGTTGGACCCACGACACAGAGCAGAATCCCAGAACGGTTTGAAAGTCACTAGTGAGTCATACCTTGATCTAAGGTATTTCTGGTGAGAACACGTGCTCAGACACTTACTAGGGTCATAAGCAGCCTGTTGGAGGGTTTTGGTAGGTAGGTAGGAAGGTAGGTGGGACTGTCCTGTTCAAGAAAGTGTCACTGTGTTCTTCGTCGAGCTTCAGGATATCAGTAGGTGAGGATGTGAGGACTTAGTGCAGCTCAGCTTGACCGGAATTGGGTGTGAGTCATGTCACCCCGCTGACGTGCCAAAAATATGCCTTAAAATGATCAAAGATGTATAAATTGAAGTGACTACATTGTCAACCAACCAATTCGCAATCGACCCACACTCAAGTCTCATCTCAGGAACCGAACAGATCCATTGGTCTTGGGTGCAGCAAAGACCAACATTGCACACCTCGAGGGTTCGGCGGGCATTGCAGGATTCTTGAAGCAGCTTGGCCAACATTCAGAGCTGGCATGGATCCTGCAACCCCCACAGACCCTGAGTTTACAATTGTTGGAACAACTTGCAGGTTGAAAATAAACAGACCGCCTTCATCTTCACGGTTGCAATTGTTGATGAACTTGTTATGACTTTTTGGTTTATTGGGGGTCATACACAGCACCATTGAGAAGGAGCATAGATGGAGCGAATCCATGCTAATCCATGGCTCCTGTACTTTGGACCCAGAATTTTAGCAGCATGTTGGAGGAAAATTGTTTAGACTGGTCCACAACTTGACACACTTTGGCAAGAGGTGTGTGTGTGTGTGTGTCAGCTCAGGAGCGTGCATATGTTGGAGAAGCGCCAAGCGCCACCAAACCTGCACTTCCAGAGCTTGAATCCACACATCGACATGGAGGAGCAAAGGGGTGAAGAAGGGATACAGACATATACAGACCAGGATTTCATACAGGTTAGTTATGATTTAAGCCATCATTGGTCAGTTAGTTGGTCCTGATTCGTTTTTATCCAATAGTGCTTTTGAGTATGAAAGGTCGCGGAAGGTGCTGTTGTGGGATGTCCAAAGTTCAACAGATTACAGCAGTATATAATACCCTCCCTCAAACAATCATGGAAGCTGCGCAGGCCTCACTTGTAGAGGAAAATAGTCTTCCAGGGGCCTATGTTCCACTTCCATGATTGTTTCAGGGAGTGTATATATAGAGAATTTGTTGGATAGCTCCTCGAGCGAGGTTAGCACTTTTTCCACAGAAATAGAAGCGTGTGGGGACTGGGCGGCTAGTTGGTTAGGCTTGATGTGTTTGCTGTGTTTGCCGCCTGCCTCTTGAAGACGTTGCACCGGCAATCGCATTGATCACTTGATGTTGACGTTGAACCTGCACCACGTTCCTCGACCAGCAGCCTCAGCCTTTTTTTTGTCAGCTGCAGCACTCATTTTTAACTTTCAAGTGTACAACCAGGCTTAGGTTGAGTGGTTCAATATGATTTAAACAAATAGATTTAAAGTTTCTTTTGCGTGCGTTTCTGCACCATTGGCTCCGCAAGCCGATCGTTCTACCAGGACTTCCCTGCAGTGATCCCCACGGAGCTCCAGGAGCTGCCCAGTGGCACGTTGGCCTCAGGCGGATCGCAGACGCAGCATGGTGAACGGACAAAAGAAGGCTTGAAGGAACAGAAGAAGGTCAAGGCTTAAGTTGAACTGGGGCCTGCGGCCTGATTAAAGGGGCCCTTGCTGGACATGCATCCTACCCCAACGCTTGTACCACCCTGCACGTAAACGTGATCCCAGCACCGTATTGCCTGAAACCCGGAGGTCTTTCGTCCTTTGGCTTTGGCGGCACCAACGCACACTTGACCTTCGTAGCAGCGCCCAAGCCTGCGGCGCCCCCTGAGACGGCCATCGCCTTCAGGCACGGAATGGAGGGGAGGAGCCGAAGCTGTCGCGATTGGAGCAAGAAGCTAGTAGCGATGCCAGGAGCCCCTAGTAGCATCCTTGCTCCTAGCCAATAGCCTAGCCGCCTAGCCATGCCACAGCCTAATTAGCCCAACCTTGACTTGGACCGTCAAAGAATGTTGGATGTCCAAAGCCTTAAAGCCCTTAAGCCATGCCATGGAGGACCATACATTTGTGGATGTGTTGTACTTGTTTGCATGTTAATTCGGACATATTCGGGTATATAATTAGATTGCCGGGATGGGAACGGGGCATGGTGATCAAGCAACTTTTGTGAGAAATCTGCTCTTTTGCAAATTGCTTTGAGATCCTTTTTCTCCCAAGGCATGCCTCTTTCCCCTGGCGGGAGACAGCTTACCGTTGCCTGCGCCGCAAAATCATGGAGGGCCGCGACACACACTTCGAATGCACCATCAAATCGGAGACTTGGCGGAGAAAATGGGGAGATTCCCCCAAACCAATTGGCCATCTACAGGATTTTTTTGCTGCTAGGCGGTCTCCCTCTTCTGCACTACTTGGCAGGTCCAAGGACAACATTCCTGAAAGACTCAAGAATGTATGTTCTCAAGAGAGGAAGTCTGAATCTTGGGGAAGTTACAGAAAACCATCCGCTAACCATCAGCTCCAACCAGTCCCTCCCACCTTCTTCCCATTGGTCCCCCAACACCACCATCACCTGGTGGTTTGGGAATGTTTTGGGTGGGTGCTAGGATCAGTCCCTAACTCCCAAGGACATGTGAAGTAAATAAGAGACTGACCATTGGATGCCACTTGTCACATCTTGTCACCGCACCTGACACTGAGGATCTTTTCAAGGTCTGTGCAGAGCATGTGGCCTTCGGGGAGATTGTGGTGCCAGGCACCGGGCGGAATTTGGGGAATGTCATGGGACGGTGAAATCAGTCGTTAGGAGCAAGGACGCTACTAGGGGCTCCTGGCCTTACTAGTAGTAACAAGAAGCTACTAGGAACAAGTGCCACGCTAGTAGTAACAAGTGCCTTACTAGTAGTAACAAGAAGCTACCAGGATAATTGATTATTGTTTAGCGATGCACTTGTTACTACTAGCGTGGCACTTGTTACTACTAGCGACCATGACCATGATACCAGGCTTTCTGGAGTCGGTTACCAAAGTCACGAGGGTAATTGTCCTTAGTTGAGTCTAGAGCCTGCAGATGTCACAGGATCTATTTTGAGTCATGCTGGGGAAGATCAGAACCCCTGCCTTGTAGGGCCAAATGATTTGTTGCATACTACACGCACATCCTTCAATAGCGGGCTGAGCTGCCGACACTCAAGGTGAGGTGAATCTTCTGACCCTGCAAGGCCTACAGATCCTTAAGACGTGACACAATCATGGCTTGGAATTGAAAGGCTCAATCCGTTAAGTATCGTTAAGTGCTTGAGAGGCCCACCAAAGGCATTTAAAGGTTTTTGGTGTGGTCAATTTATGGACAACATGTAAGGTTTGATTTGGGTTGATCATGCTCCCTTGATTTGCGCATGTGTTGACCATTTTTTTGTGTACACATATTGCTTTGACAATCTGCAAGTGGGTTCTCCGCTTGTTGAGGTGTGGTCTACGTGGAACACGCAATGGAGGCTGTGAAGACAATTGTTGGAAAAGAAGGATATCTCAAGGACTTGGCCCCTTGCAGATGAACATATTCTTTGGTGTGGTGTGATGATGCTTTGGGCAGGGTGAACATGAAGACTCATAGATTTGCAGTCTATGTTTAACTTAGCAGTCATGTCGGGTTTGTGCGGTGAGGCCGGAACCAACCAAATATATAGATAAATAAATAATGAGACGGGATAGGACTCTGTGGTTATGGGGGTGAACTGACAAAAGTCACACAGGAGACCCAGTGAGTTTCCTGTGAACGGAACCGTGATGAAGAGCTCTTTGAGGTTCCACCTTTGATGGGCAAACCATTTTAGGGCAGGGAGTATAGCAGGTGCTTCAATGTAAAGGTTTTGAGTCAAGGTATGACCAGGTGCCCAAGAAATACGAGGGGCTGACCCATGTGACCCATGTATATAATATAACTATAGTATACTATAGTCTATAGTCCTACAAATTGCCCTGTATGAGTCCTGGTTTGGTTGGTCCTGGTTTGTAGGAATGACTCCCAGACCCTTCTGACTATACCCAGGTGAGAAAGTTCATGAAAGTTCCCAATACGATCATGTTGTATGCAAGTAAATCCCAATGTCTACACTCTTTCAGTCTCCGTTGTTATCCTTCTTTCACTTCCCCACACCATGGGTAACAGAAGCGAGGCGATGACCTGGCCCCTGGTGATCCCAAAGAACGCTGATGAGCCCACAGCCACCACCGTCTTCCTGCGCTTCTGCCAGACGCTTCGTTTTTCGTTATTTTTGATGCGGAGCGAAGGTTAGTTTCTGTGTCGCAGAGGGTTCAAAGCGTCTGCGAAGTGGAAATGATGCAACACCAGGGCGGCGGATGCTTTTGTTGCAGGAGAGACTACAAAAGAAGTTGTTCATTTGATGAGGGTACAGTAGAGGGTAAATGGCAATAGTTGGTTTGGTTTTCTTGGAACATTTGCTTATTAGATTGTTCTAGATTCATCTTGTAGCTTCCAGCTATAATATAGCAATAGCTCACAGCAAGGTGACCAATCTTCAGGATGGTTGGTGAGTCTACTTTACTTTTCAGCAAACCATTTTGACGGTAGGAGTAAACACAAAACATTAACATGACCTGTGACTTTTGGGTTATGAACATCTTCTTGTAACTCCAAATCCAATCGTTTCTGGTTGAAGCACTCTCTGACTCTCTGGTCAAAATGGATGGGTTTGTCCAGTGTGTTATTGGGGATTTATCTCTGTATCTTTTAACCGATCTAGATTTTCCATATTAATCCAACGATTCCCATTCTGCGTATTCAACTGTCTTGTAAGGATGGGCGACAAGTTTGAGATGAGAAGCTTGCGCGAGGGCAATGACGAGATGATCACCCACTGTGAGGTGGAAGTTCCAGAAATGTCACTGGTTATCTAAAAGTGAATGACCAACCTAAGCTAGGGTGAACTGGAGCATTTGGAATGTTAGAGTTCTCATCCCGAAATCCAAAGGCTGTGTGGGTCAAACAATATGCATTTACATAGCAGCTGGACCAGTAGAACGGCACTCGCATCCTTGGGACTCCTTTGGTCACCAATGGCAGTGGACTGACGCCGCTGAGATTGATGCACCCAAATCCTGCAGCACCATAGAACCCCGTATCAGGAGATCTGATAGTAAAGGTTATATGCACAAGTTCAAAAAACCGTAGCCTTCACCAATCAACAATCACGACAAGGTGTACGGTTTTACTTATTCCCCAAACAGTTTACTGTTGGGGTTCTATCTTAGAAAAAAAGAGCTGGCCACACTCACTGGCCGCGCCCCTGAACACTGTGGCTGGGCTCTGTGTCCAGGCCTTGTCCTCCTCTTGTCCTCTGTGGCTGGGCTCTGTGTCCAGGCCTTGTCCTCTTGGCCGCGCCCCTGAACTCTGTGGCTGGCTCTGTGTCCAGGCTGTCCTCCTCTTGTCCTCGTCCTTTGGCCGCGCTGGCGAGCCCTGTGTCTTCCTCCTGCTTATTCTAGTGGCCACGTTTTCGAACCCTGTGGGCCCTCCTCCGCTGTCCTCGTGCCACGGTCGCAAGCCCCGTGTCCTTCTTTCGTTGTTTGTCCAGGTCTGCCTGTCCTGGGTATGTTTTCATGTGGCTATGAATGCAACAGTGACACAGCGATCGAGATGCGATATCACCATCGGATCTTCTCACGACATCCGGTATCCCATAGTTTTGCGCATGTGACACAGGCATCAGGAACGGGTGTTTTCAAACATTCATTGTTTAGGTGCAGTTCCCAAACAGCTGGAGGCTTTAGAAAAGTATACTTACACTAGTTTCCGCCAACATTGCAACTTTCGGAGTTGACACTGACGCCGACAAAAATGCTGACGCTGTTTGGGGTCTATGCTGGTGTAATTAACATAGTAAGCATAAGTAGCGGTAATGAGTGGCAGTATGTCGCAGCAGCTACTTCCTGATGTTCAGACACGGGGAAGTGAAACCCACCCACTGGCGTCCGCGGCAGGGCCGCATTGGCCGTGGCCTGGCAGAACCTGCCCAGCTGAATCTGGAGGAAGACGAAACAAGGGGAAAGACTGCTGAAAAGGGTTTGTGAGCCGCGCGTGGAGTTTCTGTAAGTTTTGCTGATTGGACGTCATCAGTTTTTGTAGGTTCTGTCCTTCATGTGTGTGTTTGTTTTTTTTTCATTGCCCCTACAACAGCTGCACAGGAGCTGCGAGAGATGTGCACCGAGGAGGTGGATCCGAAGGACATGCAAGAAGTGCGTTCCTGCGGGCTCAGAAGGATGTGATAACCTCAGAAGCTAGATGGGGTGAACCCAACCGTGCCCAATGGGATTGGGCGATTCTTGATCTTCCCAGGTGTCCGACTGGGGGAAATGTGCACCGTATGTTTACCCACATGCTCCGCGTTAGCGGACCCATGAGACCACATGGCTGTGTGCAGAAATGTGCTGAATCCCACGCTGTTGCAGGGCACCTGTGGTTCCAAAAACCATAAACCCGCTGAGGGAGAAAATAGTGATCACTGAATTCGCTGGTCACGGGGACGGAGGACGTCTACGCGGCCATCCACAAGGGAGGCCTTTGGCTGGGTCCACGCTTCCAGGCTCCGCGGCTCTGGTGTGTCGTGGGCCACTGGGACGAAAAAAAGGTGTTAGAAGTTGATTGTGTAATTGATAAGTTTGGGTTTTCACTACAAGTTCTTCTGAGTGACGAGAAAATTGAGAGGGGAGGTTAGAATTTGCGGGACTGCTGATTGTCCACATGAAGAACTCAGCTTGGCGGATCAGAGGGTACTGGAATGCCAAGAATTCACAGGGGATGCACTTGGTCCAACTTTATGTCCTCAGTTAAATAATTCGGTTTGATGCTAATTGTTGGCTTACGGCTTACTCTAAATTTGGCGTTCAGTTCTCGGCGATATAGAGTTGGGAGGTTTCCAGAGGCATTTTGAGAGTTGGCTCCAAGACGCGTTCCCTAAAGGTTGGATATCGAGTGTTAGTCTAATCTCCCTACCTCAACCACTCAACAAATACAACCTCATACAACCTCTTAAAGACAAGCATGGAATTTCCATCACGACACTCAGAGTACTCCAACATGATTTTGGAGATCCAAGTTCATGTTCATTTGCAAAGGATCACCATTCCATTGTAAGTTGTTCCAGGGGCGGCACCTCCCTCTCACTCGACGAGTTGTTTTGGCCAGGTGTGCAAGCAGATGCAGCGCATGCGCACAGGTCCTTCGGGTGAAGGACTTGCAAGTCGATATCGTTTCTGTGTTTGTGTGTGTGTGATGGTTTGAATATTCGTTTTCCGGTGACACCGGCAAAAACACAAGTTGTATGGACAGGATGGCTTTGGATCAAAACTGATCACTGATAAGGTTCTGGTAAACCTGCTGCTGTTTGTAACATCAATATTCCTGCACCACCTGGGATACCCGACGGGCTGACGGGGATAGAATATCCACTGTTTTTATTCTTGCGTGTGAGATAGGATAGGACATTGCAAGATCCCATTGCTTCCGATGCTGCTCTCCAATATGGTTCGACAATACTTGACAGACATCAAACATAGACACCTCATCGACTCGTCGTAGGGAATTATGACTCTAATAAATATTTGATGCCTGTGTGTGAAACGCTCGACCCTGCAAATATACTTGATCTATTTTGATTTTGTCTTCCGATGTTCTTTTCCCGGGGTCCAACTATGCTCAGCAACAGCAATTGTCGTTTGGATCGGTTGTTTATTTTTTCTTTGCCCGCGGCTGCACTGTTTGCATCATTCCTCAGGAGGTGACCGACATGTTTTGTGCCTCTTGGAACACTCGCCAGAGCCTGGACCCAAGGACCCCACGTTCAACACGACACGCGAGACTTGGGCGGATAGCGCGATCAGATTCGCTGGGGAAGAAAGCCAGGGTAGGATTTTGCATGATGAATCGACATGAATCTTCTATCTCATGAGAATGTTTCTTCTGCAAAACGTGTGCTTATAAGTTCTTTTGTATGCTGGATCGACATTAAACAATCCACTGAGCCAGCCACTGTTCTTCAAGGCCCTGTTTGTGCTCAGGTCACAGCCCAACCAGGGCTTCTACATGCACCCGGCAACACTGGATGGTGGGGAGCCTGAGAATCAATAACGCGGACGTGCGGTCAGCGGAGCCATTGTATGCCGCCACACCTTTCCCTTTGTATGTAGGGACTTATTCTTATTCTTTCGCAAATCCAAGCATTTGCCTCAGTTTGAGGGGTTGTTTGCGGAGTTTATGGTTGGTCGCAGAATGCACCAGTGACAAGGATAATCAGTCATGTTTGATATGAACAATAGAGCAGACAAAAAGGCTTGAGTGCCAGCGCAGCCTGCAATATCCTTTTTTGCCAATTCAACTATTCAACATTCTTTGGCAGAGCTTCAGACAAACAATTGTAGAGATGCCACGGCCAATTGCCATGGGTTTGACGTTATGGAGGACAGTGCAAAAGGCTCAGCCAGGTGATTATATTGAAGTATGTTGTATGTTAGTGAAAAGGCAAAAAATCTATGGGACCTTGATATGTTCAACTCAACCGGCACTCTTCCAGAAGAGACAGACTTGCACATGTGTCTAGAGGGGGTTGCTTTGTATAATACGGAGCTGGTTCCGATCGAAGGAAACCACAAACATTGCCTGCTGCCTTTGCGAATTCTTTTTTTGAAAATTCCTTCCATCCTACACTTGAACACTTGAAGACATCGTTCACTTGCTTCGCCCAGTTGCTTCCGCGCTTTCCACTTCAAACAATTCTACCTACCTCACCCTCCCGACATATGCCCCACGCAATTGCCCGACCAGGTACCATTCACGTGTTGGGTGCCACCATGGTGGGCTGGGAGGCTCCATTGAAGATCTTCAGCGGCATGGGCCGAGTGCAGGTGGGCAGAGTCGACGAGTGTGCATGGACTGGATTTGGTGGAAGGTGTTGATGTTGCTGACCAAGCAATGAGGTGTGATTGAGTGTTGCACCCGGCTGGGGGTATTCCGCAGGAGATGGTTGTAATCATCAATTTGGACCCTTTGTTCCTAGTAATTAGCGTCCTTGCTGGTAGTAGTAAGGCCAGGAGCCCCTAGTAGCTTCTTGCTCCTAGTAGCGATGCCAGGAGCCCCTAGTAGCGTCCTTGCTCCTACTTCTTGAGGATAGCTGTCATGACATGTCGCTTCACTCCGGAGGCCGCCTTCGATCAAATTGTCCACCTGCAGAAGACCGTTTGTCCTCCAAAGACCACGGGGTTTTGTTAGTTTGACATATATGTTTTTACATCAGTAAACATTGGTGTACATTGGTCCATTACATTCAGCTCATTTCAGCTCACATTCAGATTTCCTTCCCAATCCGTCCGCGCCAGTCACACGTGCACCGGAACTTCTCTCGCGACGAGCTGCTCGGATCAGAAGAGGAAATACAGATTTGCAAAGCTAGAACATAAATATTTTTTCCATCGCTCCTTTTCTGGTTGAGTGGTCTCACTCGGCCGTTTTGGCCCTGAAGCATATATATATATACACACTATATATTATATATATTACATATTATATATATATATATTTGCACTGGAGAAGGGCTTGAGACTGGGGTGTGTTTGCGAGTCGCAAACATTTAGATATATAAACACATGTATATATATATATATAGTAATACTGATCATTATTGATCTACTTTCCCAGTTTATTATGGCTGAAAAATAATCCGATATCAGATACCCCGTGTGTGATATTCACCAACCTTGGCCACTGACTAGATGCAGGTTCTGAAAGCAAAGCCAGGTGCAAGAAGGAAATGACTGGGGAAGAGAATGTGGAGTCATCATCTACCGGCACACTGAGTGGAGACTCCAAAAAGACAGCATGCTCTCATGCGCAACCAGTGGGAAACAACCAACCCTGGGGTTGTCCTCCAGAGCAGCACTTTACCAAAGGCCAAGCAACAACACACGCGTTTTGTTTGCCCCTCCGCAACTACCTCCTTGGGGTGGAGGTTGAAAGTCAATTAACTACAAGATGCTGCTGTCCAGATTGTTTTGCTGGTCATTTGCCAAGATCCAGGAGCCACTACTTGTTTGATGTTGGACAGGACTCTAGATACTCAAACATGTTAACGCAAGCCTCTTTTTGAACTGGGTTGCTGACAGACTGCTAGAATGTATGATTGAAATGTCCAATCTTGCAGATCTTGCAGAGAAAGCCTCCATATACACTTTTGGAGAGTGCCATGTTTGTGTCACCTTTCGTTCTGCACCGAGGCAGTACTACGTCCACCTGGACCTGAAGACCTTCTCAGAGCAAGAGCAGGTTTGTGAAAGTCATCGCACGAGTTGACCCCTGCTGCAAATGTCTTAGGCTTTTTGCTCCCACTGCTCCAAGCAGCATCTTCATTGGCTTATCACAGTAATTATATAGTATAATATAATTAGTCAATGCAGCTTCTGCAATCCAGAAACTGCTTCAGAAGTTCAAAGGACACTTGAATCAGCCCTGTCTTCAGCCGTGCTATGGCTCAATGATGGCTCCAAATATGCTTAGGAGATTCCTACAATTGATACAGTCGGTGGAACGGCAACACACAGTCCCAAACCATGGCATTGTTCTCACACAAAATGCTCTCATGACAATGTTTTTTCAACAGAGACTATTGCTAAGTCCACGTCCAACTTGTGCTCGCTTTTTCGCCACAGCGCGTACCGTCTTTAACGAATGGATTTTCGCACCAGGTCTTTGATTCCACGGTGAGCACCCTGGAGGGGGGAAGTGCTCTTCAAAGGAACTGACGTGGCTTTCCGTAAGGCAGGAGACCTCGTGGACAACCGCACCGACGGAGGTTGGAGATGAGTGCAAAGCTGGTAACCAGGGGTCTAGGACCTCGTGGGACCTGGTGTACGTGGTTGACCCACCAAAACTTCTTCTACTCCGTTGCCCGTTTTGAAGAGGTGCAAAACAGCCCCAGCAGGAGCTAGCTGCATGGGGATAGTTCATCCTGGACGGCAGTGTCATCGGCAGGTGACACCAGAGCAGATCAAGAAGGCCATGGAGAGCCAAATGGCAGAAGACGATCAGAAGATTTACGAGGCCATGAGACGGCTGGGTGGGGTGTCAAAAGAAAACACCATCAGAGAACTCTTGGTTTCAGGAGGGGTTGTGGGAGGAGCTATTGGAGCCACAGGTATGAATCAGATAAACTAGATTGCGAGCGCTGCAAGCACTCGAATTCCTAGAAAGTCTCCCACCCGGATCAGCGGCGGGCAGGATAGGTCGTTGTGGATCCTCTTTTGATGTTAGAGTTACATGTGCACATGACATGTGGCAGCCCTCCAGGTGGTTTGGACCGAAGTGAAGGGCAAGGGCGAGGCAGAAGCTGCAGAAGTGGCAGGTCGCTGTTTGGTCTTAGCTGCGGAGAATTCGAAGGAGTGGGACATGAGTGGCGAGCATTCCGTCCCTGGTCGTGGATGCAGAGTCTGGGGTTACTCCACATCTGAAACTTAAGGATGTTTAGCACCCAAGAGGGAACTGGAGGAGACCTGCTTGATTGTGCGACTTTGCTGGGGACTCCTCTAAATCCCAACAAAACCGCCCTTACCAGCAATACAGTCTTATGTACCTGGGGCTGAATCCACCCAATCTTACCGCAGGGCCTTTTCGAGTTGCTATGGTGTTCAGCCGAATTGCCAGGAGAGCGAAATCTTGGCAGAACTGCCCAACGCAGAGGTCTCAGGAATCTCCGAGGCAGGGCAGTGGAGGGCGGTTTAGGCAGGTCAGGTCAGGGAAGGCGGGTTACGGATCTTTCTGAAGGCAGAATTTTTGGACTCAGCTGGCTTCTCTGGGATTCTTGGCTTCCGATCCATCACCTCCCTTGCTTGGTCCGCCCATTACGGCACAGGAGGCATTGGAAGCCATTGAGGATGGAGGTTTGGAGGGCGTTGCCCAGGTCATCAGTGCAGTTGGCTTGTCACAGGCTGGAGTGGGGGGGGAGGGGAGTGGAGGGCGTTATTGTGAAGCAAATGTAAAGCAATGTCAAGGGTTTGATGTTTGAAGGTTGCTGGAAATTTGGTGCCTTAGCCTTCGCCTCAGGCTGAGCCCTTGGAGGCTTTGGCGCATGCGCTCCGCCTCATGAAGGCCGGCACAAGCGAGCTTCAAAGCGGTGAGGGGTTGAACAATGATGCTCAAAGTGGCTAAAGTAGCCCCCCTTCAATAAGGCCCCTTGAAGGAGGCTTTCTATTTCTTTACCGATGTTAATGTTCATGTTGTTCTTTTCTTGAGCAAACACTGTGAGAACCTGACCCTTCAAAGTGGCCTGCAAAAGGTGGATTAACGATATAAAAAACATCTCTTTGAAGATGTTGGTGCAGATCTCGAAAGGCGATTAATTGCCTGTTTCAGGCTCATTGGGCAAGTGAGTTGGGATTTAGTGTGATTCTCCGGTTCCTTTTCCACTTCACTTTGTGATTCTTTGGATTGATTGTCAGATAAAAGATATCGATTTCAGGTCTCATCTGGAATTTGAGAAGCACCTTCCCTAGCCATTTCTGCTAGTTCACACCACCTCTCCCTACCCCACCCTCCCCACAAAACATGTCACAGACCCTAAGCGCAGCATTACTAAAAGGGCAATCTCCTTTACAAACCTTTATTGTGCAATATTCAATAAACATGCTTAAACGTTTTTTCCGTGTGCCCATTGGGTGCTGTTTTTGCACTGGCGCAACCAGCCTCTCCTTCATTGACCTGTCAGGCACTGGTGAAAATGCCACCCTCCTCCGAGTTGCCTGAGCTGGTGCTGCTTGGTTGTAAGGAGCCTGCTTGCAGGTGTCCTTGGTCACATTCCCACATGCAAGATTCTACTTGATAGGGCCGACAGAGACAGAGAGAAACCAATTATCGTTTTGGTAAGGATTGACTAGGAACTAGGAACCTCCTGTTTGGGATGTAGAGGGACCAATTATCTAAATCTAAGAGGTTGGTATCAACTCCGATGTTCACTTGATACTGTAGAGGAAATGTCTTCAAAGCCCTGAATAGAGGAGACCAGTCAGGGGGTGCAAGAAAAGAGCACCTTTCCAAACCGGGGACATGAAAATGGTGCCGGCAGAAGACTCCGTCAAAGAATTGCACGCTCTAGCAAATCTATACCTACTAGTACAGGACATTCAGTGGGCTGTAAGCTTTTGGGCCTTCAACAACCCCTATAGGGATTGCAAGGTTTTAAAGTGACTTGCTGACTTGCTGTATCCTCATTGCACCACTTGTGATGGGTGGTTTTCACATTCACATGTTTTCCAAATGTTTTCACCTCTTACTCAGTTGGGAGTGGGTGCAGAACTTGCAATGCTAGTTAGTTGCAATGCTATATTCGCACAGGGTGCCAAGTTTTTTCGTTTGCTGCAAGCACCAAGTAGCTTCTCACCTGGCAACTTGAACACGGTATGCTGGACGCGCAGCCCCAGCGGCCTGCATTACGAAGGGTCAACCACCTGAGAGTGCCCTTGAAACTCTAATATGTTCTAATCAGGGCAAGAATCGCTGCTGCAGGTTCCTCACCAACTCTGCTGTCTCCGTCTTGCCCAACGACCTGACGAGCCTGCCCGTCATGGCGCCTTTGTGGGGTTTGGCACGCGCCTTGCGCGCTGAGCGGCCAGATCTGAAGGTCGAAGTCCTGGACTTGGCGCTCTCGGAGGTCAGTGCGGGGGCCGCTTGCGTCGTGTGTGTGTCGACTGAGTCGACCATTGCGATTCCGCGCCGACCCGTCACGTGCGGCGGACGCGAACCGTGCAAGGTGGAATTGCCAGCACTGCTGCCGCTGCTGCGCCAGGACCCTGAGCTGGCAGTGCGTGAGGGCCGACGCCTTGCGCCACGTTTGGCCGATGCCACGGCGGCGATGCCTGAAGTGAGCCCCGCATCGTTCGAGGCAAGGAAGTGGATAATGGTTCCTTGTACCGTTTACCGTTTGCCTGAGTCTTAACCCTTGACAAAGTCTTAAAGGAACATGTCCCAGTTTGACTCGGTCATCGGACTTGCAGGACGCCGGTGGCTTAAGGCTTAAGCATGAATGCAGCCGCCCCATGAGAAGATAAATCGGTGACAGAGACTCACAAATCATCACGGATCCATGAATTAATTAACTTTTTCGACTCCCGCGCTCGTTGTGGCCTTTGGCCGTGAGCTTCTCGATATTGTTTGATATCTGGTGAGTTAATGCCCTTTGAATGCGACAAAAATTGTAGTGAGGAAAGAGAACAGTCAAACAATACTCTTTATATATACGCTGGCTGTCCAATACCCGATCTTATTTCCGCAAGTTCACCTAGTTCTGGATCGGCGTTGCGCTTCCAACACTTCCGAGACACTGAGCTTCTCCCAGTCGCAGGGCTGCCACCTTTTGAGCGGCGGCACCGGTGCCTTGGGCCTGGTCTTTGGCGCTTGGCTCGCTGAGAAGGGTGCCAGGCGAGGGCGGATGGGAGGATGGGTGAGGTTGGTGTGTAAAACCCCACTATTGATGGCACACCTGCGTCTTTTTTTTTGTGTAAACTTGGTGGTGCATTTCTGCTAAAGCGGTGCTTTTGGGGTTGGTTGATAGGACAACGTTGTTTCATTGTGACAGAACCAAAGACACCGAAAGGATCTGAATAGGTGGCTGGCTTGTTACTTCCCAACAAGATGTAGGCAAGATGTTTCTTTGTTGTGAACTGATAGGTGCAAAAATCAAGGATGCTACATCTGCGAGCCAATCTGTGAGTCTTGGAGGTACGGATGCACGTCCCTCCGACAGATAGAAACTGACAAGAAACTCAATACAGATATAACTAATATATATATATACACACTTGAAAAGAGTTCATTCATTTGTCCCCTGCTGATCATTTCCTAATTTATGTTTGCGCTCAACGGATGGAATCCTTTCTGGGCTCTGGATGGCTTGGTAGGTCTGGATGCTGACCTTTTTCTTCGCCACCTTTTGTGGTGTCTGTGGATGGCCGTTGTTCCAGTGAAGCCTCCAAGAGGAGGATCACAAAATACCATCTATAGTCTATAGTAGATGGCATCCAATTTCAACATGGATGTGGATGAGTTGTTTTGTTAAAATAGTCCTACTCGGTCCTACTGGGGTTGGACACGTTGGATAGGGGGGGACAAGTCAATTGGCCCAAGACCTTGTCCGGTCCGTTGCCCTGAACCTGGGAGCCTGGGAGCTTCGGTGCCGAATGGATTCGTGAGGCACTTGGCGCTCATGTCCCGTTCCGGGCGCGTTACCGATGAGAGTTTGCTCGGCCTGTTCGAGAAGGCAACATCTGCGGGCGGAGGGTCTGGAAAGAGAACCTGCAGCTATTACTGTATTGAATTTGTCCCATACTAAAGTGAAAGTAGTACACGATTGTAAGCAGAGGCAGAGACCTGTCAAGTGAATGATAAGAACTGGCAGCCCCTTCCTCCTTTAGAAACATACCAAAGACCTGCTGAATTAATGTCACCAGAGTCACCAGACAGCCTACTGGATGGAAGACCCTCGATTTGCTGCCGTCTGCACCTGCAGGTCCAAAAGCTGGCCGATGTCCATGTCTTGAAGGGCGATATTGCCAAGAAGGAGGATGTGAAGACGGTCATGCAGCAGGTGGGGGAGAACATCCGGAGTGCTCGACAATGGTGTGCTGCGTGGAGTGATTTGTGGGGAGAGAATTGATGAGTGGTGAAATGTTTGTTGTCTTGTGATCCAGCAAAAGGACTTTCTTGAAGCTTTTTGCAAAAGGAAACACTTGCACCTCCCCTCAACCAAAAGTCTGAAGAACCGATGTTCAACCCATCGAAAGCGAGTGTTTGGATGGTGAAGAAAGCTTATGAGGCCTCAAGGTACCAGTCCACCCTATTTGAAGGCCAACAAGCTGGGCAAGCTGAAGGGACTGTGGCACGCAGCAGGGATCTTGGACGATCACCTGATGGCTGACTTGCAGCAGGAACATCTGCGGCTGGGCGAAGATTGGGGCTTGAAATATCAGCTTGGAACTGCTCATCAAATTTTAAATAGGTGGATGCGTACACCTGCCTCCACTTTGGAGTGGAGGATCCTTTGACACACTTCTTGACGGGGTAAAGCGGGTAAAGCTTTGATTCAGAAGAGCAATTGTGGGGACTGGAATTCACCCCTTGACTAGTGGCGATTCTTTTCATAGTATGCCTGCTTGGCGAACCTCAATGCCCATTGGCCAAATACTAGCCCCAAGCACTTGGATTGTACACGAGGATGAAGATCCAAGTATTTTTCCTGAATCAGCATGGTACCCCACGCATGCATTTAGAAGTTGGGCGACAAACTGCGATTGCTGGATGAGTGGTACGTATCTTGGGATGGGTGGAGGAATCTGTTTATTAGTTTTCTTTCACTTGGTATGTCCGAACGCGTGCTAGGCAAAACGTTTTGCTGCCAAAGATGGACGGTACACTGCACTTGCACAACCATGCCGCTTGGAGAAAGATCTGCAGACGCCAACAATAAAATTCTAAAAACATATTTCTGGATATTTCAGGAGTTTTACAGTATATTCAGAGACCATCATTATACATATCATTACACTAATATACTGCTGTTGTTCAGGACTCAGGACATGGTTGATTTGCGTATTGCCATGCTCCTCTTTTGATGGTTTCAAAAAAGGGCACCGTGTTGAAAAGTTTCAGACATACCACATGGTTTACGTGGGTGGTGGTCTATCACAAAGTTCCACCAGGGCACGATGCAAGTTTTTAAATATGACCCTTTTTTTTAGAAAATCTTATCCTACCTTGAGAATGGTTGTGTTATTGCACAAGCCGCAACCCCTTCACACATTCAAAACATATGCAGATACACTTGTATATCCCTTCACTTCATACATTGTGAAGGCTTGAATTCATGCTGAATGAGTTTCTTAATGACAGGGCATTACCCACCCACACATGAACAACGAGGTTCCTTTTCAACCGGCCGTAGCACCGGCCATGTAACCCCTGTCAAAGGCCAAAGAGATGAAATTGGAGCTGAGCCACTTCGTGCGGCTTGGATGGGATGGAAGGTAGCCTTGATTAGCCTCGCTGAGGTGACCCATTTTCTGGCTCCGCGAAGCCCGAAGCCCCCCGTGGGTCAAAAACGTGTTGCGGTTTGTCATTGACCTTTGCGAAGGTTCCTTCTTCAACCACAGGAGCAAGCCACATCATTAGCCGTCATTAGCCTTGAAGAGCCTTGACTAAAGGCTCCTGGTGCAATCCAAGCAACGCCTTTCTAGAGAGGATGAACACCCACAGTGAGCGTTTCGCGGTTTCACAACACACACACACACGTTCACAGGGGTTGCCACAGCGTTTGATCCCAAGCCCAATTGTCTCACAATGCTGGATCGGCAGCACTGCATGATTTGCTGATTAGAGCTGAGAGCAGGGTTTTGTACCCCCCAAATCAAGTTGTGAGACAAGTCTGTGTTCGAAAGGGGCAGTGATTGGAGGGTTTCTGGGGTGCCATGATCCACTCCCCTGGAGCTTAAAACCACCCCAGCTTGCAACCTCAGAAGGATTCTGTTTTGTTGATTGACGTCACGTTTTCAATAGACCAAATGTATCCAAATATATAGATTTCAACTAGTCAACTAGTCTGACCTCAATTATGCAAACTACCCCCTTTGTTCTTTGCAGAGGACTAAATCCATTTCTACTGCCTGTTGGTTTCCGAATACATTTATATATATATTTATAAAATTTAATTAGCCCAATGAGTTCCAATCGAACGAAGCCACTGCACCATTGCTTCCGAGGCTCTTCTCGTCCGTGGCAGCCATGCTTGGCACTGCTGGACAGGGCACCTTGGAGAGAATTCTGAGGAACATGTGAATTCATGACAAGAGGCCTTTGATTGAAACCAGTGAGAAACTTCATCGGTTTCTATGGGTCCCGTTCTTTAGCGCTTCCTGTTGGGGTGATGAACGGTGAGGACAAGGATGTTGGTTGCAAAAGCCATGGTAGGCGGCTCCAGAAGTTTGTAAGAAGCCAGACCAGATTGATCACAGAAGACTCAAATTTAGTACTGTAAGTCTTACTGCCCTACTGCCTATGGAAAAATCCAATCGACACTTAGAATCGTCAAAGCAATCAACTCTGTACATTAAAAAAGTATTTCAAAAAGCAATGTTTTTCTTGCATAGTCCTTCATCGGAGTAGCGCATGGACATGACATGGGCCATGGGGCATCAAGTGGCGGTTTTTGCCTCCTCAACCTGGCTCAGGCAACTACTGCGCCGCGAACGCTTTCCTGGATGCCTTCGCCGCCTATCGCCGGCAACATGACCTGCCAGCTGTCTCCGTGCAGTGGGGACCATGGGCCGAGGTGCCCTCGGCTTTCGTCGTCGTCGGGCTTCGGCTGGTGAGAGCCACGGTCAAAGAGAACCTGTGATTTCTCCAACTGGTAGTGGATCCAGGCAATCCGGTGTTCCAAAGATACCAACTAGAGCCACAAACCGACTGAGGATCCCGATCAGTGCCTTATGCAGTGGGATTCCTGGGGTAATTGAATACTAGGAGAATCCTCTTGAAGCCTTGTAGTGAAAAGGCCAAAGGATCGGATCGACATGGATCGCCGATACTTGTTTTGGGGGAGTTGGTACCACTGCGGATTGCTGGCAATCATTTCAATAAATGGTTCAATAAACCTCAGTAAGCAACTTCTTGTAAAGCCTGCATTGGACTGCATTGGAGAGACGAAGATCTGTGGTGATTTGTGGTGCCTAAGCATTGTGATACTCTCCACACCCAGATTACCCAGCAAGATCCTGTCCCTTCAAACCCTGCGGAATCCACAAATTCGACTTTTATAGCAGCTAGCAGAACGCAGAAAATGCAGTTTGTGATGACGCATAAGGAAATCAGAATAGTTCTGACATGTGCGGTAGTCCAGCTACTTGAGACCTCATTGATATGTTTTTTGGGACCTTCACCGCCCACTACGTTATTCTGACACTCTATTTGCCCATCCCTACCCAACCCCTTCCACTTCCACCATCCACATCGTGGCTGGAGCAGCCACAGCCACAGCCATGCTGGAAGGTGGGCATGGCCGCGCGTGCAGGGACCTCTGAAAGCGTGGTCTTGCGTATTGCGCTCCAAGAGGGCTTGCAAGCCATGGCGGCTCTGCGCATACTTTGCGGTGAGGGATAGCAAACATGTGTGCCAATGTACGGAGGCCCACTGTAAAATGAATCAGCCAGTGGCTCAGATTTGCCAGTCGTTTAGACAGCAATATGTAATACGTTCGACTATCCCCTTCATCCCCTTGCAAGAGAGGTCTATAGATCTTGCCTTTGCAACCAACTATAGTTTTATATCCGCTGAAAGTTTTTGATAAGCATGCAAGGACGATCGGGATCCTTTTGCTGACTCATCCTTGAACTGGAAGAGCTTCGAGACCTCATGGCCGAATGTACTTCTCACTCCTATTTCCCTGACGTATACGGGGGAGGACGTGCCCCAGCCCCTGCCACCCCGCCGGCCTGATGAAGCCTCCAAGTCTGAGTGATGTTGCATTTGGTGCAAAATTTGACACCTGCCCGAGTGGACTGTTCTATTCTGTTCAAGGACAACATTTTGGGCGCCCAAGCGACTTCACACCTGGGTGCCTACGTGGGCGTGGCCCGGATCAAGTGGCGCTCCTTCTTGGCACAGATGCTTGGAAGATGTTGAACGTGAAGAGCTAGTGGGTTCTTTTGTGGGGAGTGCGTTTGTTGGCCTTGCGCGCCTCAGGATGCCAAGGTTGCCCAGCTTCTTGGAGAACTTCCAACAGCTCCTGGACAGCAAGGAAGAAGTTCAGAGTGGAGTCTGTTCAAACAAATGGGTTTCTTTGGTAAAGGGTTTTACTTTTGTGTGATGAGAATATTTTGTTTATCTTTGATATTATTTGTTTCATTCGTTTGAAACTGTTTTAGTGATTTCTCTCGGCAACGGCAAACAGTGAAAACAGACCACATTGCAGGTTGCATCCTACCGGGCAACCATCCCAGCTTTTCCAGTGTTCTCACGGCCCGTGGTTCTCACGGCCCGTGGTTCTCACCATCCAGGTATGCTCCGAAGGATGCAAAGAAGGGCGGTTTGGTGGCGAAGGGCGCAGCGCCTTCAAGAGATCTGGTGAGGATCGGCATTGAGAACGTATTGAAGGAAGTATTGGGCCCCCCTGGCAGCCATTCGCAGCGGCGAGTGACGGGTGGATAGAATACGGAAGAGGTTACGAATTTTCAGACCAAAGAGGCCAATTTCACGAAACGATGTTGTTGGAGGGGTCACTACTTATTATGTCTTTTAAAGGAAGAGGTTTAGAGGGGGCAACCTATCAAGCACATTCATAGACTACACCATCAGTGTCAGTGTAGACACTGGATACTTGGTTTCGCTCCCGTCTGCTCCTGCAGGGAACCCCCCCCACCCACGAAGGTCTCGCCTCAGGAGGCAAGACTGAAAGGGATTGTCGCCGCAGCCCAGGATCTCCGACAATACTTAGTAACAAAAAGCTAGGGGCTCCTGGCATCGCTACTAGGAGCAATCTTGCTTCTAGTAATTGCACCTGAAACACTCTTTGCACATTTGCAGGTAGTTAGTAACTATTCCAAGGACCTCTGGGGGAGCTCAAGAAGCAAGCCCCTATTTCCTGTCAGATCCCCTAAGCCTCGACCACAACACTCCCGTAGGCGATGACAGCTTGGAGGACTTCTCTTCGCCTTTGATGGACATGGGATTGGACTCTTTGGCGGCTGTGGAGTTCCGCAACCGCGTGCAGGTCACTGGGACGGACCTGGACAGGGCCCAAGCTGTGGGAACAGGTTTGTCACCGATTCGGCCAAAAAACAATCCAAAACAGATGGTGCAAGTCAGTGAATCTGCAATTGAACATCGTCCATGCGATGAATGCTATCCATGCGGACCTCCAGTTCTTGGAGGGTCCTGGCACACGCCAACTGACCCTGACTTTTCCAGCAACGATGGGTGTGAGGGTTTAGCAAGCCAATAGGTGAGTCCACTATCACTAAAGTTGTCCATTGTTTGCAAAACGTACCCACTTGAAAGTGACGCTTGAAAGGCCATTTCCCCACAAGGAGCACTTCATCACAAAGAATAGAGGAATGATCTGCCGGCGATGACGGTTCCGAAGGTATTAACTCCTTTAGCAGGGTGGCTTTGCTTGGCTTTTATTTGATATGACAATGATATCTTAATTGTCTTTGTTAAGCTGAGGCACGCTTTCTCATTGATTGGAGTGGGCCCTGTTCAGACACACGACACACCCCGCGATCCGTGGCACCGAACTCGTGGCCAGGCCTCCTTCGAAGGGGTCCGACTGAGCTCTACGGTGTCGTGGCCACGTCGGTGGGCGATTTATCAGTAAAAATTGACTCAGATGACAACCCACAAGGGTACGTAAATTTTGGGGTTGGGTTTTCATAAACCCCACTATCAGGCGTATATATAGATGAACTTTGAGCTGTGTGGTTGGTGTTTGATTGGTATTGACTCAGCCTCCTTTCAATGCTGTTTGTCCAAATCTCGCATGGGTGAGGGCTTTGAGACCTGGGTTTCGGATGTTAACCATGTGATGTTAAGCGGCTTGTCAGCTTGTTTGAATACACCAACACATCCACCAGCATTCCTCACTGAATTGATAATATCCTCACAAGCTTTCACCAGCTCCGCGAGTTTTCAGCTTCCCTAGCAGACATCCTTTCCCTAATCTCCATAGGCTCCACCTCAGGTCATGTTCGACTACCCTACAGTGGCGGACCTCACAGACTTCATCCTCTCCCAGTTTGCCCCCGACGATGATGCCGACGGCGCTGTGCTGGGCGGCGACTTGTCCGCTGCTCGGGAGCCCTTGAGCATGCTGGGCCTGGCGGGACGCTATCCAGGCATGAGCGCACAGACACTCAGGTTTGAAGAGATCAAGACTTTTTGCTATTGCTGTGACTGTGGTGCTTATCTGTTTGTTTTCGTTTTTTGCTGTTGCTGTTTTCAGCCGATTGAATCTTTTTGTGGATGATTAGGGAAATTCCATGAAATTCCAATATGTTCCAATCCTATAAATATAAGTCTACATATACTGTATTTATGAGGAACATGTTTTCCACGCATCCGAGGAACGATGTCTCAGAGCTCCTGGGCTGTGTATATAACGTCAAAACCTGAGAAAGCTTTGAGCGGCCACGTTCCGGGAAGGGGTGTCCATTTATCCCACAAGATGTTATATATTTCTATTTTGTTGTGTTCAGTTGTGTTAGAGCTTCCCTGGCTTCCTGTGCAGAACAGAGGAGATATCTGCTGGCTACCGTAAATCCGCCTGCGAGATTTGGCCAAGAGTAAGTCTCAGTAGCAACAGATTGTGTTGCCGGAGGTCTGGTTTGTAGGGATTCGACCGAGTTTTCCCTCTCACTAGAGCCTCAAACCAGTAAATATTGACTGGAAGTGTCCGTGGTGGATGGACGATTCCCTGCTTTGGCAGCGACAGAATCAATCCCCAAAACCATATATGACTGAACATACATTGCATCAAGCACTTCTCCAGTGGATGGACGGTGGATGAAAGGTTTCTCGCAATTCCATGCAATTTCCATTTTCCAACTACTAGTTGATGCATGAAAGCTTGTCTACCAGGTGACCAGCTACCAGCTGGCGCTGAGAAGAGTGCCTCGAACTGAGGTTCTGGAGCTTCCTCCTCAGTGGACAAGATCCTTGATAGAAAGAAGGCAAAACTGCCAGTTTTGGCACCACTTAGAGGACACCAAGTCTTGTAAGGCAGCGATCATCCTGAGAAGTGCTGCAGGGTTTTGTTCAGCAGAGTGCCCTGTCGGGGCTTGGCCAGAAACGACCTAGAAAACTGCAGGATTTTGCCTCCCAGATACAGACCCAGTTGACCCGGTTGACCCAGTTGACCTCAACTGGGTCAACTGGGTCAACCGGGTCAACTGGGTCCGGAGATTTAGCGTGGCCACCGGGTCAACTGGGTCCACCGCCACCATCACCACGACTACTACTACTACTACTACTTCTACTACCACCACCACTACTACTACTACTTCTACTTCTACTACTGGGTCAACTGGGGTCAACTGGGGTGAACTGGGTCAACTGGGGTCAACTGGGTCAACTGGGTCCAGAGATTATAGGGTCAACCGGGTCAACTAACCATCAGTTCGACTGGGTCAACTGGGTCCACCACCACTACTATCACCACTACCACTACTTATGGGTCAACTTGGGTCCACTGGGTTCAAGGTCTGGCAACGACTTCTATACTGAGCATGCTCGATCAAAGATGAATCCCTACTAGTGCTAGGTGTAAAATAAGGCAGTCGGAACAGTAGAAATTAAGCTCAACACCAGGGTTCCCGTGTTGAGCTTGGACAAAACCTTGTTTTATCAAGTTCATCGGTTTTGTATTTCTATTGGGCACCCCACGTGAAGCAGGCGTAGCCACTGCATGGACAGACGGCCGTCAAAAGAACGGCCAACGAATGGCATGCATGGAGCTAAATTTCAAGTTGTAACGATGATCTGGACCTTTCAGACAGGGGAAGGTTCAATCACCAATTATCACCTTTCGTGCGAACTGCTGCGGAGTTGGAAGTGTTTTTCTTCTGTAAAATTCTTTTCCAGGTCAGAGTCAGAGTCAGAGTTCGGCTTCTGTGAGGATCCCGTGGTCGACTTGTGGATCTTTTCCAGGTCCAAGCCAGGGATCAGGTGCTGCGTGTTCGATCGTCAGGCTATCCACTAAACCACAGACAACTAAGTCAACTCATCCATAGAAATCCTGGAACCTGAGTAAGTGACCTGTACTTTAGATCAACACCAACCATCCTCATCTGTGGCAACATGGAGCTATAAAGACATGTGACATGATCTAATCAATGGAAACCAATATCAACATCAGACATTCCGTGTAGAGCTTGATTCGGAACCTTACTTGTTCAAGTTCAACAACGGTCTTCATCACAACCTCGGTTGATCCAGCTTGATCCACTTCAGAAGCCAACAGTTGGGGACCGTTTCTTCCTGCGAGTCAAGAGATAGCTCTAGATCTATCGACGACCTGTGAGCAAGCGACTTGGCTATGCAAAGCTACTCAAAGAAAGCTAGAAACCAAGATCAACACCAGACATCTTGTGTTGAGCTTGGTTAGGACTCCTTCCTCCATCGAGTCGACCATGGCCGCATAAACAACATTGACACATAGAAATACATAGTCTAACCATGGGAAACCAAGCTCAACGCCAGGTGTCCCGTGCTGAGGTTGGTTGAAGACTTTTCCTGAGCCAGTTGAGACACTGCCTCCATCAGAACCTCAGTAGAAAACAAACGCGTGAACAACAATAATGAGTTATGAAAACATAATCAAACACATACTTTAGAAACCACACTCCACACCAGGAATCCCATGTTGAGGTTGATTGGTGATCTTTCTTGATCCAGTTCAGAAAACAACCTAGTAGTAGCAGTGGACCCAGTTGACCCCAGTTGACCCGGTTGACCCCAATTGATCCAGATCACCCAGTTGATCCAGTTGACCCAGTTGACCCAATGGACCCACTTGACCCAGTTGACACGTAGTAGTAGCAGTAGTAGTCGTGGTGGTCGAATTGACCAGGAGGGCACGCTAAATCTGCGGACCCAGTTGACCCAGTTGACGCGTAGTAGTAGCAGGGTAGTGGTCGCAGTGGTCGACTTGACCAGGCGGCCACGCTAAATCTCTGGACCCAGTTGACCCAGTTGAGGTCAACTGGGTCAACCGGGTCAACTGGGTCAACCGGGACACCCTGTTCAACTGGGTCAACTGGGACCACAGATTTAGCCTCCCCTGTGCCGACGCACTTGAGAAACTGAAGAACGCACGCTTTGAGACCTGCAAAGTACTTCATCTCCTTTCCGAGGACCCGATCTGTGAGATCCCCATCGAACGCTTCGATGTCGACGAGCTCTTTGAAGAAGATCGTGGTGTGCCTGGGAAGGTCTACGTCCGCGAGGGTGGTTTCATCCCTGGCGTGGAGGACAAAGAGGGAGGGGTTGGAGGAAGCTGCTCCCACTACTCTAAAGAATAAAACAGCCTTAACAGCCTTAGCACCACCTCCAAGGCACTGTAAATAGTAAGGTGGGCAGCATCTTAGGATGTGGAGTAGGACAGTAGGACTAGAGGAGACCAGACGAATCTATATAATTTTGGGTGTTAGTTGAGTATTCAGCTCAGACTGAACGATGCGATGATGGGTTTGTTGGAGTTGGTTTGATGTTGAAGTTCGGTCGAAAGTTGAAGACGGCGGCAAGAAGCCCGAATCAAGTTTTCGAACTGAAACCCGCGAGACAGACTAGAGTGAATCGCCCCTGGTCAGATCATTTCAGAAGACATGGATTGCAGTAGCGGAGGTTCACATCCAGTTCACTTAATTCAGTTCTATCCTACACTATGCCAGCTTCCATTGAAAACTCATTAGACTGAGGCAGGTCACATACTTGTAGCTCCCTTCGAACCAACAGTCCCAGGTCCTCACGTCACTCCACTGGTAGCCACCAGCGTGGCGCCACGGCAGGAGTTCGACGCGGCCTTCTTCGGCATCGCCGAGCCGGAAGCCCGGTCCATGGATACCCACCAGCGCCTGCAGACAGAGACCGCCTATGATGCTCGGACGACTATGTCCAGCGGGAACTGGGGAGGTTTGGGGCATTGTCTTCTAAGGTGGTGGCAGCATGGGTTGACATGGCAATATGCTTGGATAGGAATTGGTAGAGAATAATTACCAGTACGTGATCAAATCCAGTCAAAGTAGGCATACAGGTCTCCTGGACTCTCGATCAATGTGTCAAAACATGGGCCAATGTTTTTGCACTGAAAGGTGTCTCATGTTACGTTGAGGGTATCCAAGGACCATGGGCCAAAAAACTGAGACTCGAAGCCATGCAATTGGCGGACATCGTTGGAGGTAGCAACGATGTTTTCTTCTGAGGTGAACATCCAGTTAATACGTCAAAGTAAAAGATTAAAAAACAAAACAGCATGACAAACAGTGGTAGAAGGATGGCTTTCTGGGTTGATGATGTTCATGATTCGATTCAGCTCCGTGTATGTCGACCTTGCAGGAGAGTTTCTACAACAGTGGCTTCACTAAAGAGACCTTGGCCAATGTGGAGTGCGGTGTCTTTATGGGTTGCTGCACTCTCACAGGCAGAGTGTGGAGATTGCCCTGAGTTGCCCTCCACTTGTTTGATGATTCAAGAAGGCTGAAGACATTGGAAGACTCTTGGGGCATGATTCACAATCAGGGAGACTAAGACAATGAGTCTATTTCTGTTGACTTTCCATGCCTTTTCCTATTGATCCTTATTGCATCTTATTTTCAAGTGACAGACCTCATGAGTCTAACTCACTGCCGTTTCTCGTCGAGGCATCACTGTGGACTACGAGGACATTGGGCCGTTTACCAACATCGGCTCTGGTCTGAGCGGCATGTCTGGACGCATCTCCCACGCGTTGGGACTGCGAGGCTGGTGAGTCTTGTGTTGAATTGGTGAGAGTCACTGGTGCCCGTCATTGTATAGGTATAGGAGTCGATGAGCTGACAATGAGGTCATGCAGATGATCGAGCACCCTACTGTAGACTAGTGATGACTGGTGCCTGGTAGCTTTGAGTGTAACTGCCTTTTGCTTCAGAGCATAGCCGCATATGAGGCAGCTTCTAATGACCACTTGCTACTCCCAAGTCCCCAAGTGTCTACTGTAACTTGCTTGAACACATTCTAGGACAAGGCAACACTACTTAAAGCAACCCCACAGATCTACATACTTGCAAGAAGATCCAGATATATAATACAAGCTGAGTATAGCCAGTATAGCTAAGTCATTTACCACTGCAGCAAAGGTACAAAGGTCAAAAGGCGGAACAATCAAGGATTCAAGCAACCTTCAATGGACATCCAACAAGTACTCCAAAGCGCCAAGACACATGCGGGAGGCCCCTGCTTCACCATCGACACTGCCTGCTCATCCACCCTGGTGGCGATGGACTGTGCGGTACAGGCGTCCAGGCTCGTGGGAATGGCGAGGGTGGTGGACTTGGCTCCCAACTCTTCGGAGACAGATGTTCATCGCATCACAGATGTGTTTGCTGCAATGATATAGGTTGCAAAAAAATGTGTTTGGAGTATGCTTGGAGTGGATATTGAACTGCCAAACATGTGACTATATGTGACTTATATGACCAACGTCAATGTCCTTTGTGTTTGATCACAATTGGCCATGTCCATCTATTTGCTGCACTCCAGCTGTTGGAGTGATAGCTTGTCCTAGAAGGAGTTCTTGCAACCACCTGATGACCAAGCCCCGATCCAAACCGAGATGTCAGGCTGGGACGTCAAGAGTTGGCTTGCGTAGCGGGCACCAACCTGCAGCTCCGCACCGACATGCCACACGACTGCAGCCATGGTGCAAGTGTGGGCTGTGGATTTGGTTGAGCATGGTTGTTAGAAGTTGTCTATATATAGTTGTGTGCCTTTGGGGCCCTGATATGATCTGATTAATGCAGCCAACGGTGGCAATGACTTCAACCACTCCCCATGAGCAATCGCTTTGCGGCGAGTGCTCCCTTCGCCGGGCTCGGCCAGGTGGGTCGGTTTCTGCAAGATGACCGGTCTTGCGGGCGATGGCCGCTGTAAGACCTTCGACCAATCGGCCGATGGCTTTGGGCGCTCGGAGGGCTCCGGCTCGGCCGCTTGGAGATCAGGGGTGCCGGGGAATGGAACTTTAGGTAGGGTTTAAAATAAGACTTGTTTAAGGTCGCGCTATGCTTTGGTTTGCTTTTGTTTGTTTAAATGTTTTTGGTTTGAAGCTGGCAGTGTTTGGATTGGACCAATAGGGTCAATAGGGATACTGGAGCATTTTCAGGCAGAAGAAGCAAGATATTTCACAATTTTGAAGGTCCCCTTGCACGGCGTTGATGAGCAAGTTTGCACACTCCAGCTTGGAACACGCGGGATATGCTACTGGTATTAGAACCGAATTCAACCAGGTGGACGAAGGGCACAGAGATTCACGGTTGGTCAACCACTTGCTACTGTACCTGAATGTGCACAGACAAAAGGGAAAGTCTTTATATTATGTTAGTCAGTTTCCAGCGGTGATTGCAAACTGTACTCCGGACATTCAGGTGATTCTCCGATTGAAAGCTGCGGCCAATGCGAAGGGCGAGAGTGGGCTGACGCTGACACGAGGCAGCTGCGTGAACCAGGCGATGGCTGTGTGAACCGGCAGTGTGATTTGTTCAACATGATTACTAGTGACTTTCCAGGTGATTGAGTGCAACAAGTTGGTCTTTCATGGTTTTTCAACTAAAGTCGAGCATCATAGCAGCTCAAATGGAATCTGGAAGCTGATTGGCTACCCATAGAGCATGGAGGCTTGCGGCTCAGGCACACCTGAATCCCCTTGGTCAGCAACCCTCGGTGATCAGGACGGTCGCTCTGCCACCATCACTGCACCCAGCGGCCCAGCGCAGCAGCGCGCCTTGCAAAACTCCCTGAGGGATTCAGAGCTGCAGCTCGAAGGAATTCAGAGCCACCGTGTCCCCCCATGTATTTGAACATGTGGATACCTCCCGTTACCTCAGTTACCTCACGGCATGAGTGGGTTGGTTGTGCATTTCAAGGGACTAGACTCGATTCGTTTTGGACGGGCCAGATTGAGATACAAAAAGTCCAATGTGTGCCGGCCAACTGCTGCATTATCTTGTTCCCCCTCCTGAAAAGGTCATCACGGCCCCTCTGTGTTGGGGGAAGCTGGCAAGACTCAGCTCTGTGTCGTGGCCAAGGTCAGCGCTGGAGGTATCTTTGGTGGAGTGCCATGGCACTGGCACCGCACTAGGAGATCCCATTGAGGTGGGTGCTCAGGAGAAGATCTATGGCAAGGAGCCTCGGCGACCGCGCGGCGTGATCATGGGGAGAGACGTGGATTTATGAGGTGGCACGCCGCAAACTCAAATTGGTGTCTCTTTCAAAGGGTGGCCACTGTGAAGAGCAAATGACTGTGTCTGGCATATCATAATATCAATCTTCACTCAAATCTCACCTCCCCTCCCAATCTAACTCTACTCCCCGCTGGAACTGTCTCCGCCCAACTCCTCCGCCTAGGACCGCGCAGACCAGGACCAGCTGATTTTGGCGGCGGCCAAATCGGTCATCGCACACCTGGAAGGTGCCGCCGGCGTCGCGGGCATCACCAAGCTTGCAACCCGGTGAAGGATTGGCCAGGGAACAGCGGTTTTGCGGAAGGAGAAAGGTGTTGAAGTGGTAGAGTGGAGAGGGGTGCTGGCAGAGATTTTTGTGGAAGTTTCGCACATCTGAATACAATAACGTGCAAATTATTTTGATTAAATGATTGAAATGTAGCTGTGTCCTATGCAAAGCGCTCATGGGGTGGAGTCATGCGAAACTGGTTTCCAACCATTTGTTTTCAAGTCCAAGTGAGTGATCAGATTGGTGGGAAAGCCGTGGAATGGCATTGTCGAAGAATTGAGATGAAGTGAATAGCCTTATGACATTTGGATGAATGGGCTACAGGTTTAGTGAGGTCTGCGAGGAAGGGTTGCTAAGTATAAAGAGTGCAGATCTGTTGGGTTTAGCTGTAAGACAAAACACACCACAACAAACTAAATATATGTGGTGAATGAAGATCTGCAGGTAAACCATTACTGTTATTCTGTACAAAGTTTGACACAACCACAACCAGCTTTGTCCAAAGATGAGAACGAGGGTGCTCTCACTTGAAAGCTCATGCCTTGCCATGTTTTGGGTCTTTTACTTTGTGTGTCCAGGACCCAAGGGTACCTCCCAAGGACATGGTTTTGGAGCACACGCCACCAGGTCTCCCCCGGAAGATTTTGAAGACGTCAAAGGGTTGGGGCGCGGTGATCCATAGAGAAGGGTCCAGTTACACGGAATTGGCAAACGGGAGTCGTGTTTTGAGGGTTTTGAGGCGGAAGGAGTAAATGCTACGAGCCTGGCCTGAGGTCAAAATGCTGGAGCACAAGTGGCCTGGTTCAGCAAAAGACATCGATCTCGGCTGCACGGGACATCTGCAGCAGACGTGACATCTCGGTGTGGATCATGTCACCCACAAAAGCAGGTAGACTAAGACACCCAAGTAACTTGGAAAGTGAGATTCATCCCCCTGCAAGATGGTCCTGTAATCTCTGGGGTGCAGACAGACCTTCCATTTTTGAGACAGATGTGGTCATCGGGCTGCTTGTTTGGCCAGCCTGACACAAGTCAGGATCCCTTTCTGTCGTAGAAGTGACTGACTTTGAAAGACATCGAGCCACCTAAAGCATTTCCTCGTGCCTGAACCACACGCGCAGTTGCCGGCACTGAGAGAGCTGATTGTCAATGAAACCTCAAAAAATACAGCTGCATCAAAGTCGTCAAAACATTTTCCTAAAATATCTAGGAACCAAATCATTAGTGCGAGCGCTTCTTCAAGGAAGCTCCCCCGCACCGTCAGGCGGGGGGAGCTTCCTTGAAGAAGCGAAAGCTATCCTGCGTCCAGTTACTAGAAGCTAAAACTAGGAGAATGTTGCTTACTGCCTTGCTTAATCAAGTAGGTGCCTACTTGATCAAGTATGGGCGGGATGAAAAAGAACAACGAACAAGAAAATAACACAATGTTGCAGTCACCTTCTTCATCCTTCTTCTATACCTTGGAACCGTGCCAGTGACCATGACCTATGCCCGAGCAGTCTAGATTGTATTCTATTACTGTAGGTAGCTGCCAGGTACCTGTTTAGTGTCTGTTCTCATGGGTGGGATTGTTGGTTGTGGCGGTCGGGTGGTGGTTAGTGGCAAGTCAGACAGTAGTTTGTTGCTGCTAAACAAGGACCATGGGGCTTATTGTAGCCGTTGCCATGACACCTGTGGCTCAGGATGGTTCCGCCCAATTTGCACCTCAAGAAGTTGAACCCCAACATCGACTTGTCAAACTTCGCTTGCTGCATTCCGGACCGGGGTTGTGCGGTTGTCCTGTGGGGAAAGGAAGGAGGGGGGAGTTTGTTTAGGCCGAATGAGACAGCAGTGTGCTGTCGGAGGTTGAAGGGGCATTAGTCACCTGGAAGATCCTGGGAGAACATTCATGAATATCCTGGACGTTCACAGCATCGACCTATATACCTCAGACCACGAGACCCCTGGGTATCCAATTGATGGTCCAGATCAGCAAGTCGGTGTCACAGAATGCTCGCTTGTCTTGACCCTGCAAGATGGGGATGCCCAGTTCCTTATTTGGCCGTGGATCAATCACAGGGTGCCATCCAACCAACTCATTTGATTATAGATAGACCGAAATCAAGCAGGCGGGCGGACACAGACTACCTTAGAAACAATGAAACACTACGAGGATTGGGCGGTGGGTGCAGAACTTGTTCGTGTTGATGAATCTGATTGTGCAGTTGGATTTGATTGCCGGAAGATTCCAGACAGAGCAGACTATCTCAGAACAGAACGCTGTCGATTTGCTGAAGTTCACCTATACTTGTAGCCTGTAGTCGCTTCCACTATTTATAGGGTTGCTATTTATTTGAATTCGGGAGGTGTCCTTCATTCGCCATGTTTGTTTCATGTATATTATTGGAGTCCGTGACTAGATAGACTACTGTAACTTGCCGCATGTGGCAGTTGCTTGGGTTTTGGAGGACAAAGTCATGGACTGGGCAGTGACCGGAAGTCGCTGTGCTGGTGTGAGCTCCTTCGGATTCAGCGGCACCAACTCGCATGTCAACCTGCAGGCGGCCTGGAGTGCGTTGTCTTGGGGGTTTAGCCAACAGACTAGTTACTGCAATTCCCCTTTTCCTTGGCCTGGGGATTCAAACATTTCAAACTGGCTACAGGATACAGCTCCCGATGCTTCACACCAAAACAGCTAAGTTGCGATCTTCGTCTCAACAGTCAACAAAGCTAGCAAGCCATCAATACCATCCCCATGCCGTGTATACTCCTCCCAGAATTGCTGGCACAATTTCCAAAGACAGTTCGTGGCAACCCCCTGTATAAGCCATCCTGTGTGAAGTGCCCATCGCTGGGCAAAAAGATAGCACCTCATTGGGCCTCAGCGCGACCGTACCACCCAGTGTTGGTGGAAGAAAACCACCTGAGAGAGTGGGGAAAGCCCACGGTGTTCACGGTGTCTTGAAACACTCATCGGTGGTGCCCGTATCAGTAGATCCCACATGCGTCGCTGGATGCTTGCTCGCGCTTGTGCCATGAGCGAGGAGGCGCCGACGGAAGAGCTCCAAGCGACCCTGCAACAGTTGGGTGAGCGGCCGGTGATGAGCTGGAGCCGCAGCGATTTGCCACTGGCACTGGGAGAGAGCAAGAGGGGCAGAGGAAGGAGACATAACGCGTTCTAAAAAATATTCACAACATGCAGGTTTTATGATTCATTATGTTATGTGTATATAGTATATATAGTACCGTGCTGTATTTTGGAAGAAATGATCTGCACCAACAAGTTCCCGATCTTCCATTTGATGTGGGGTCGGAAAATGGCCCGAGGCCAGATGAAATGGAAGAAATTCCCGGAGCCATATCCATGTTCCGATTTCTTCCATTTGAATGGTTGCAGGTGGTTTTCCTGTCAAAAAAAGGAAAGGAGAGAGAAGAAAGAAGGAAAACGGAAGAGGAAGCGGGGAAGAGGAGGAGAAGGAAAAGGGAGAGGACAAGGAACAGGAAGAGAAGAGGAAGGGGAAAAGGAAAAGGAAGAGCAAAAAGAACAGGAAGTGGAAAAGGAAAAGGAAGAGGGAGGGGAAGAAGACAAGGAAGAGGAAAAGGAAAAGGAAGAGAGGAAGGAAGAGGAAGAGGAAAAGGAAGAGGAAGGGAAAAGGAAAACACAAAGGAAGAGGAAGAGGAAGAGCAAAAGGAAGAGGAAGGGGAAAAAGAAAAGGAAGAGGAAGGGGAAGAAGAAAAAGAAAAGAAAGAGGAAAAAGACGAGGAAGCGGGGAAGAGGAAGACAAGGAACAGGAAAAGGATTTACTGATCAGAGGTGAAGATTAGACACCAAATGGAAGAAATACGACCAGGAAGCAAAACAAGGAAAAACAAACCAACAACCAATAAAGGCTTCGGAGAGTATTAGGTTATTCTCCTCTTCAGATCAGGCGACGTGCGCGCGTGGAAAAAACAGTCTCTCCCTGCCATTTCTCTCAGTTTTTCTAATGGCAGAGCAAGCCTTTAGTACAAGTGGAAGAAATTGAACACCTACTGTATGCTACAGGGGATTTCTTCCATTTGCTGTTGCCTGGGTTTTCCTCGAAAAATGGATCTTCCATTCAATAAATTGTCTTAATATCTTCCAAAATACAGCACGGTACTATATGTATATAAACATATTTGTTTTTTTTGCAGTTAATATACATAGTTATGTTTCGAGATGTTAATATACTGACTATACATAGTTACATATACTATATATACACATAAATCTGGCTCAATCTAAGGGAGGATCCATTGCTGTTGAACATGCCTGGACGTGTTGGTTCTGTTCTAAGAAGGATACTGCATTAGGTTTTCAATAGACCAATTTAGTTTGAGACACTGACGTGATGGCAGGTGGGCGGTGTTTCCCAGGGACAGCCTTCCAATCCTTGAGAAATAGAAAAAGGTCCATGGGTCAATATCATGGTTTGCTTTGGGGAGCACGCCCAAGGAAGAGATGGAGTTTCTCACATCCATCAGGGCAAAGTTGTTTCTTGATTATCCGTCCTCCCGCTTTGCAGTCCTCGTTCACAAAGGGCCTGTGAGTTCAGAGTTTGCACGATGTGATTGGTTGTAACAGACCACAACTGGCACCTTTGACGAGAAATTCTTGGCAAACTAGCCCTGGATTTGGGGTGCTCCTCAGGTCCTACAAGGACTGGGCTAAGCAGTGTCTTGGCAGTTGTCACTTTGTTGTTTGGGCTGGAATGTGCTCATCACTATTGTTTTGCAGGTGTCATGCTTGGCCCTTTTTTTTCGCAGCAGCAAGACCTTTGCTTGAGAGCTCATCAAGATGGCCCGAGGGTCCTACACGGGTGTACTATTCCCTTATGTTTCGGGTTTCCATGTGGGGCACAGGTGTTTTCCAGTGTATATTATATTTGTGTGTACTCCTCTCCCCAATCCATTCTTCACAAACGAGGAGTAGCTTTTGCTTGGAATTCTCGGATGGTTGTGGGTCAAGATGGCCAAGGCGCCTAAAACCGTGGACGAATCGGACAAAATCGGACACATCCAGATGGATGGACCAAATTTGTACTCGGGAGCCCTTCAGGTCGGCGATGCAGGACGACTTGCCCATCTACAGAATGAACCCAGATAGACTGCCCTGTCAAGCGTGGATATTTGAGGCCTCGTTGACTTCTTGTTCTCCAATCAACTGCGGACTTACAGTATTATCTCTCCTCGCAGACGGGGAAGTACAGTCCTTCTCAGTGCCCTTCCCATATTAAATACATAGTGTATGTAATGTAATGTAATGGTATGGTATGGTATGGTATGGTTTGGTATGGTATGTATGTATGTATGTGCTTATATATATATTATACAGTATATACATCCTTCCTAGGACTCAATCCCCCTTCACCTCACTGTACAGAACACATTTTTCCAACATGTGTGCAGCAACATGTGTGGTTGGTTTACGTTGTGCGCAGCCAAAGAAACATACACTTTGTTGGTCCACCTGCCAAATGCCTATCCTTTTGCAGGCTGCACGTGTAAGGTCTCAAATGGACAATCTCTCATTTGTGCAAGTTGGTAAGTCAAACTTTTGCTATGGATCTTCAACCCAGTAGAAATTTGATGAATCTTGCGACTGCTGGTGTTCAATTTCATGAGGTTGTGGTGGGGCATCTCATGGCAGCCGCTGCCCGCAAGCACGGCAACCGTCAACGAGGCTGGAGTTTCCCAAGATCCCAACGCAAACTGCACCCTTTGCCGTAGATCCTAGCTCCTAGGTTGGAGGCCATCGCTAGTAGGTTGCTGTGCAGTGAATGACACATCAACGGCCTCTCCGAGTCTATGGACTCCACGGACCCACACGGACATTGTTCAACGAGTGTTCAAAGTGGAGTCATGACAGGTCTGCTAGTATGGAGATGTTACCTTGGCTAGCAATCTCCTGTGGATTCACCGGATCTATAGCAGGTCAAGAGAAGTCCCATCAACCAAGCACCTGTACGATATATGCCTGCCTCCAAACCTGAATCAATTTGTCCATGTGTTGCAGGAGTGGCTGGTGCTTGGTGGCGGCTCACTGGTGAAAGATGCAGCAGAGAAGGTGCTGCCCAAGGCTACAGTGTTGGGCATGGAATGCTTGGCAAGTACCGAGAAAGTGGACGAGCAACTTGGCAAACTTCTGTCGTTCTGGCTGGGCAGGGGATGGGATGATGAGCAAAGGAAGAGTGCATGAATGGTTGTTTTCCTGAAGCTCGGGTAGGAGTTGTTGAGGAAAATCAAGTGGAGAAGAAGTACCTACCACACAGCAGAGCTTGGGTCCCCTTTTAGGGTGATTGATGGGATCATTTCTTGCTGAGGCTTTTGGCAAAGCCATACGCTGGCCTCATTTTCGCAGAGGCGCTGAAAGCCGAGGACCCCACGCTGCAAGGTGCCTCCGAGTGCAAGGTTCAGCATGTGATGTGATTGGACTCAAGTTTCCCTTGTTTTGTCAGGCCATATATATATATACATACACATATGCATAGTGAGAATTCAGTCAGTGGGTGTTTGGTCGTTGAAGCAACACGGTTTGTTGGCAGCCTGCCAAGTGGCCGCCTACCATGCATGTCTCCATTTGAGAAGTCAAATGCGGTTGCACAAACGCGGTTGCACTACCAGCAACTTCAACAGAAGACCTGCATCTGGCAAATCACTCATCTAGGGTCCAGTTACCATATCCTCAACAGACATTGCGCCCTCGCACTGAGGGCCTACCTTGGCGTCCTTGCTTCGCTTGGTCCAAGGCCCAGGGATCCCTGGGTGGAGGAATATGCAAGTTTTCCTGGAGTCACGCCCTTATTAGTAGCGTCCTTGTTTCTAGTAGTAAGGTCAGGAGCTACTACTAGCGTCCTTGCTCCTAGTAGCGATGCCCTTTGCTACTAGTAGCTACCTGCTACTAGTTGCGTAGAAGTCTCCTGAATTTGACTCTTGGAGTTGAAAGTTCATCCAAGAGCATCCTGCTCACTGCCCATGGTTCTATCGATGCTTTGACTTGGTCATGATTCCTGATTTGCATGACCAACGAGCACAAGTGCAGGATAGGAACTGACCTTTTCGACTTGGCCTTTGACACTCCCTATGAAGCACCAAGAGCAAACGATAGGAAAGAGCCAGAAACCATGCCGATACGAGGACCCCCTAAAATGTGTATCCACACCACCACATACTCTCTTTGCAGCATGTTGTTGCACTGCTTTTCGGCCACCGAGCTAGCCACGCTGGCGAAGTCGTTTATGAATTGCGTCAGGCCTGGCCCTGAAGTCTTCCACCAAGCTGCTCCTCCTGACCTCGGGCGCTCAGTCTGCCGTTGGTGGCGCCGTGGGCCGTGGTTTGCTGGGCGCCGGCGTATGGGGCTTCGCGCGGTCAGTGCGCTTGGCATCTCGGTGGGAGATGAATTGTCTCGGTGGTATCAGTTTGCTCTAGCGTCAATTCAAGATTGCTCCCTCAATACAGTATAGTATGTTTTTGTGGCAAAACAACAAAATGGGCTGACAAGCGGAGATCTCATAAGTGGTGGCTTTTGGGCAGTTTTCTTGCTGGCAGCAACCCTAGTTGGTAGGCGAAACTGTTTGCCGTCACATGCCTATATGGCCGACACAAGACTCCTCTCCTCGTCGATCATAGACAGCACCCTTTTATTTGTGTTTATCCGTTTGATTTTTGTTTGTAGGCGTTTCAAGCACCTTGTGTCTTCAAATTTCGTTTGACGGACCAGACAAGATGCAATGTTAAGCCTGCTAAGACGATTGATAGCAATGCTCACAAAACAAGGAGTCAAACAGCTCAGAGCGATACAATCCTTGCATAATATGATATGAGACACAAAAAAGAGCCTGTATCTATTCCGGGCAAAACCGCAGCTGGTGCCGCAGCATGCTCAGGAAGTTCCTCATGTTCAACTGAAGATTGTGGACCTCCCTGCTGACCAATCCCTTGCAGAGCTTTTGCCAACAGACTCTTCGGTGTGATGAGAACCGCAGGGTGAACGGTGGCCCTTATGCCAGTCACGCTAGTGGGGTTCAATGAATGTTCTGTACTACCAGGGATTTGAAAGGGTCGCCCACATGAGGGGTATGCAGTGTACACTCCCAAACCATACGAACCTGACTAAGTGAGTTTAAGATGCCATGTAGATATCTAGCGAGCTTTCCCGGATGTTGATCCCAACTACACTCCACCATTTGGATTCAACCTTGGGATATCTTTTTCTGCTCGTCACCAAAGCAGGTACCGGAAGTCTGTGGTGTGAGGAGGGAAGCTCAATGCAATGAAAAAATATCCACCATCGAGCCGTAGAAATGCACTGTTCCATGTATATTTGTGGCAGGAATTTCTTTGCTCTGCAGTATTCTTGGTGGTGCAATCAAGACTTGCCCGGCAACCTCCATTCCAATTCTGCGCGAATCTGTGTCAGAATGAATAGGAAGCCTCCATTAATAGATCAGGGGGGCATAAGTAAATCATCATATAAATCTCCCGCCAAGCCAATGTCCACCGAGGACTCCCTTTTCAAGTGGAGTGAATGACAGCCATTTCTATTGTGTCATGCCCAATCACACAGAGAAAAGGTCACCTCTAGGAGGATGCTTGCCACTAGATTTATGAACCGTTGAAGGCTGTCACTGTACAGTTTGCGCCTTTTTGTCTTCTTCAGGAACTTTGCCCTGCCTGGGCCAGCGACGAGGATGTGGCCGCGCAGCAGGCAGAAATCGCCTATATCAACGGTGAGCGCTGTGCGCCGCGGCTCCGCACCACCCCCGTGCCAGCGGGCAGCAAGCGGTTGGAGATTCTTGGCTGCAGTGGAAGCAGATGCATTTGAGGGATGTAGAAGCGAACATTTGAGCCATCCGAAAGACACCTGTTGCTTTTAACAACCTGTTTGGGTTGGAGATCCGTCCAACACGTGGGGAAAAAGATCATGCAACATATATATATATATGTATAAATACATAGAATCCCATCACCAGCACCAGCACCAAGGGGGCCCTAGAATGGGATGTTCTGTATCTCTTAGCTGTCAGAGGATGTAAACTGAAAGAAGAGATGCACCATGCACATCTGTATAGTGCTGCTTGCTATGTCGGCTGTGGATGAATACCGGGTCGTTCAACCAGAAGATCATGTTCCTGTGCATTTGAATCCGAATTAGGCATTAGGCATTCATTTCCATTGGGTTGAGATATGGCCCATGAAATGGAAAGTTGTTCGCTGAAGCTCAGCATGTGTGGTTTCTCAACGCTTAAGAAGAAACAGTTGGGGAAGGAAAGGCCCAATCCTGCAGTAGGCCCGCCAGCCGAACCTTAGGCCTGATGGCAGTTGCTTGATCAGCTCCTTGCAGCAGTGAAATGTTTCCTGAAAAGTCTGAAGGAATGAATGACAACAACCCTCCATATTGAAGAATGAATGTGCAGCCTATTTCTGGCCCCAAGGGTTAGTGGTCGATGCTCCCTTCGGGCCAAAGGGTTCAGAGGGTTGCCTGAAATACAGCTAGACTTGCTTGCCAAGTTCAGATTGACATAAGCTGGGTGTATTTGTGTCAAGGTCAAACGCGAACGAGAGGAATTGACCTCCCACCGTACATGGCATGTGTAATACGCCTGTGTGCTTCGGGCATGTCTCCAATTTAATCTATGAGTGAACATGCTGCATGACCTGTTCATAGAAGCTGCTTGCACTCCTACATGGGACCAGTGTTTTGATAGATTTGTTTTTTTCTGAGGGCTACCTGAGTGTGAAAAGGTGCAGGTTCCAATTTGTTGAAGCACATGCTTATGTGGACAACTCGTGCCAAGGACTACAGCCATAGAACTGGAATCCTTTTCAAGTGGAATCAGTTACAGCGGACAGTGGATTGTAAACAAGATTGTAACGTCGACCAGATAACTTAAGGAAGTCACGATGTTTGGATATGCCGGATATGCTTGAGGCATGAGATTCTTTGCCAGTTCGCTGTGAAACGTGTTCAAGCATTGACATCCAATAACCTGTGCTACTGAAATAGACATAACCAATTCAGAACCTTTCAGGTGGCGGCTTCGGAGGTCTTGGACTTTCTATTGCCCAGGCTTGTGGGTACACCTCGACACGGCTCGGAGTTTCTTACCCACCTTGAACATCTAAACCAGTCTCAAATTAAGTGTCCTTAAACATCTAGGAACTAAATGATTAGCGTGAGCGTGAGCTATCCTGCGTCCATATTGTTACTAGAAGCTTAAGTAGTTAGGAGGCTAGGAGCTTCCTTCCTTACAAAATTAAGCAGGGAGGGAGGGGGAGGTCCGGACGCTTTGCGCCAGGAGTTCCTGCAAATGGGCGCCAAGACCTTGATCTTGGTCTCCCGCAGTGGCCGCGTTGCGGCCGGCGATGCCCAGCTGCAGGAGATGTTCGATGCCCTCAGCGCGTCTGGCGACGTCACAGTGCACGCGTGGTCCTGTGATGTGGCGGATGGTGTGAAGACCAAAGAGATGTTGAAGATGCTTGGATTGGCTACAGGAAATGGGCACAGAAACTGCTATAAGGGATGATATATAGATAGATATATATATATATATAAGCACTCTCGATCTCGCCTGCAAAAGCTACCCAGGAAAGCGAAAGCATTGGATGTTCCTTTGCGCAACGTGGTTCACGCCGCTGGCATCATTGACTTTTGCGAAGTCGGCAAGCTCACTGTGGAAGGTCACTCCTTTGGCAGTTTGAGTGGTCAACAAAGAGGGCACAAGGAATATTAGCAGCAGGTAGCTTGCTAGATCTTGCTAGCCTTAATAGCCTCGTGGAGTCAAGAAATACTCTGTCAGCGCCACCACGAGTTTTCTAGAACAAACAAACATGGGCTTCCACTGTAATTACTCACTAGTTGGGCAATCGGAGCAAGCGCTGGCCTTGCATATAGGAGAATGGAAACGCAGACCTATCCACTTTTGGTTTCTCTTGTGATCCTTGTCCCACCCACCTTCTGGTGCGCCTCCAGTTTTGCTGGAGCTTTTCCAAGCGCCAATGATTGCTGATTTCGACCTCTCCCATTTCACCTTGGGCAAAATGTCCTTCAAAGGTAGTCTTTCGAAAGGTTTTTGGTCGTTGTAGGTCGAGTAGTCCTTGCATTCATATTTGGGAGGTCAATCTTTGTCTGAGTCCGAATTACTGCAGTACGTCCAGTGACATGACTCGTATGTAACACATCTCGTGATCTATAGAAGGATTAATGTCTTGACCAAAAGCCATGCCCAGGATCATCCATGATCAATCTGCAGTGCTTTGGCCTCCCGCCTCGCCAGGCATGAACTCCGTCTTCAAGCCGAAGGTCTCAGGCGCTTGGAACCTTCACAGTGGCATCGAGCTTTGACGAAACGATTCCCGCGTATTCGGGCGCAGTGGCAAGTCTAAGTGCAGAGTGGTGCTACTGCATCTCAGGCTTGTGTCATGCATTTACGATCCTGGACCCTTTGGTCAAAGATTCAGATCATACTTTGCGCCCTCGGGTTGATCATGAATCGACAAGAGGTCCCCAAATCGATCGACAAGCAGCATTTGATGGGACATGGTGAAGCCATCAGTTTTGGGTTTGGGGATGGCTTCAGGGGTTTACCACTCTACCATTGGCATCAGCTTTGAGGCCCAGGAATTTTCAGTTGTCACTCATTGGCGCGGGTTCATTAATATCTTCTCCCGGCTCCCTTGGCTACCTACTCCAACGGCCACAATAGGTCCAATCTTTGCAGTTTGTGAATGATTGGAGGCTACAGATATTGACCATAGAGTTTGGCAGGTGGATCCCAGGTCGACAGCAATGGCCAAACACTTTCCATGCATCGCACTGTTCTGCCTAAGGATGCTCAGGATGCCAAGGAGCAGGGTTCCTTACAGTCAGAGGGTTTTTTTCGGTAAAGGATCGACGCACATAGGGCACCAACAGCCGGACGTACTACTGCAGCTCCTAGTCATGTCTTGGCTGCATTTACGCAAGGTTTTGGAGGGTTTTCATTGATGGATGACATGTATACTCTCTGGCTGTTTTCTCCAACACGATAGGACATTCATGTTGGTCACTTGCATGTTGTCATTGTGCCAGGACATGCATGGTCATTCTCTCCCTTGCCATGCTTTTCTCGGAAACAATGATAAGCAATATGATGACAATCCAAAAGTATGTTGGCATAGCGACGGATTATTTGGGGCTTCCAGAGTCACTGGAGTCATCCACTGTTTTTCACCCTCCTCGTCCATGGCCTGTTTTTGGAGATGCTAGCTAGAGGAGTTCTCAAGCCTGTTGAGGGAGTGTAAGAACATGTCAGAACTGTTGAATAAGCACACTCCCCATGTGCGGAGGAGATGCACTCCTTTGTACTTTTCTCGTCAGTCTCAGCCTTGATTGGATTGTTTGAAGCTCAGTGTTTTCCTGATTTTCCGATTTTCCTGGAGCTTCTTGTATCCTTGCAGCATAGCACTTTGTTTGGGGAGCTTCTGTTGCATGCCTCGAAACAGAGGTCGTCTGGCATCACCTACTCGGCCTCCAACGCCTACCTGGATGGACTGAGCTTGTGGCGTCGATTTGAGCAACTGCCCTGCAGCAGCCTGCAGCGCCTTGTTGGGTGCAACCAGAATGTCTCGCAGTGGTGCAGGGTGTGGCAGCTTTCGTTGGGATGGAACCTAGTCCAGTTCCTGAAATATTGCAATATCGACCACACAGGTTCATCATGGTGCATCGCCTTGTTCCCATGATTAGTCACTGTAATTTACTATTATGTTGCTTTTTCTGGTGATCGGATCGCAACGGAGTTTGACCAAGATCACAAACTAAACCATTGGGTGACCTCACTCTTACCCCAAGATTGCATTTGAGTGATTGACCGGTTTGGGTATTCAGCAGATGATGACCTTGCCTGCGAATGAGAACTTTGTTTGTTCCAAATCAAACACTCCAAGTGTCACCCCACCAACCAATGCTGGAGTAACACGCTACAATAGCTCAGACTAGAGTCTAGAGATCAGGAAGTTGTATAAGCCTTCTCTCCAAATATGTTATCCTGAAATCTGTGCCATTTACCTAAAGCTTATGCTTTAAATTACTTCAACACTCATATTCAGCTCACGGCACCCCCAGAACCCTGGTGATGTTCTGTTCTTTGTGTTTTCTTTTTCCTCTCCTCCATCCTCGTTCTCAGGTGGGGCCCCGTGGCCGAGCTGGGCATGGCAGCCAAGGGCGAGGCTCACGGCGCCTCTGCACCTCGGGCGTGTGTGACCAAAAATGGAGTACAAAAAAAAGATCCAACATGAACAGAAATCTTTCTTGTTACTAGTAACTAGCGATGGCCTCCAACCTAATAGCGATGGTCTCCACCGTAGCTTCTAGCTACTAGTACGGGGGGCAAGATCATTTGAGAGAGCAGGGTACCTCATCATAGGTATGCTCATCAAACCTCTAGAAAAATTAGAAAACATTGGAAAATAATTCCCAAACATTACAAAACATTAACAAATATCAGGAAACATTAGAAAACATTGAAACAAATTATTCCACATAGAAACAAATTATTTCACATAGGAACCTATAAAAACTGATTTCCTCACATGGCTGCAGTTCTGCATAGGCTCTTTTTTCCAATGCTTTTGCTCTGTCTGTGAACAGTCTCAACTGATCCTCCTAATTCATCCTAAGACCATCTAACCCCCTCTAATGTGCATCTGACCTATACATACAGCCACTGCCACAACACAACAACCAGCAGGTGTCCTTCTTCTCTTGTTTTTCTTGTCTTTGTTGCTACCCATGGCACAAACAGCAAAGGATCAGGCTGTTGGGGTCCAACTCAGCCACAATGGCCAAAGAAATGGCTACAGGCCCAGGCAAACATGACCCATTCATTCCCCCACAACATGATCTCAACAGTCACTCAACAGACAGTTCAAAGGACATGTGTATTTATTTTCTTTAATTTTTTTTAAATGTGTTTACATTTGATGTCTTGCTGATTGGCAGCCCTCCCATGAGGGCACCAGTTCTCACTAAAGACAAGAACTACATGTTTGCATTAAATAGACAGTGAAATGAAACACAAGAGTCTCCTCGGTCATGATTATTCTGTTTGACAGAAAGGCCTTCAAACAGTGGATTACACCGGACCCTGTTCAGAGGTAACTTGGTTGTGGCTTTGCTCACCGGTACCCACATGAGGTACACCTCCTTAACCCTCTCAAAGTAAGAATTATTTTCCGCTGCATGTTTTGCGTGTTCCTCGTTGGATTTAGCTCCCCGATACACTTCACTACGAATAACTGACCACCCCTGAAATAAATCATTGAATTTGCGAAATCCACAAGTGGAACAGTCACGACCCAAGATTACTCGGGTATATGTTGGACGAACCACCAACCTGAGGTTTTGGCACCAACAGAGAGGAAAAACAGATTGAACAATAAGTTGTTTGGGTCCCTTGAATCAGGCCCCTTTATGCCGTTAAGGATGTTAAGGGGCGCCTTATTGACGGGGCCCAAGACCAACCTGACACTTCGGGTACTTACACGTATACTTACGTTCGATCTGGATGTTTTAGCTGTGGGCGGATCGATCAGTGGTTTCTTTATGTTTCTTTGCATGTGATGTTTATTCTGCCACCGTCAAATAAAGTTTTGTGATCTCTCAGACCCTATAGAAACTTTGAGTTTGTTTATCCCCGTTCTAGCCTTTGCCATTTCCCCAGACACTCATGGCTTTGGGTTTGACAGGGATTCCCCACATCCCCCCGATCGCAATTTACTGAGTTGGGCTGCAAGTTGGGCAGCAATGGACACCGAGGATTCGGCTCTGAAACTCATCAGCCCGAAGCACGTGCGGAATGCCTTCCAGCGAGTGCTTGCCAAGCCTTCACTGCCCAGCAGCCTGCTTTTCGCACGTATCTGGTATGGAAGAGTTGATCGAAGAGAAGTTTGGAGGGACTTCGGACTGGTATGAAGAACTGCTGCATGGCATATGTATATATATATAATAACTATAATAGGTAAAACGCCTATAACCCTTCAGGGGCCTATATGAACAGCAGCACAACATGCACCTGTGATGACATGTGTATGCCATATCCCACTGAGCTTATTTCATAGCGTTTGGTAGTCCCTTGAAGCCATGCTGACGGCCTCCAATCGACAGAAAGACTTCAGCACAATGAATTGCACCTAGCTTTGTCAAAGTTTGGTGGATTCACCAATCTAAAGCGTCTCTTCTCACATACTGTAACTCTTTTCTTACCTCCTTTGCTAACTGTTTAGCCAAGTATTGATGGTTTTCCTGGGGTGTTCCAAAGCACTGAGGCGCAGACTGGTCACGCTTTATGCAGCAGGTGGGCACGGTTGTGCCCGTGCTGGTGGAGTCACAGGCGCGTTTGGGTTTCGATGGGCTGCTCTGTAGTACAGGTGAACTGTTTGACAGGTGGTGTGGTTTGTTGGCCATTACCATCATTCCAGCGCCAGCCACTGTAGGGAGTTCTTATTGTAGGTAGCGGCTAAATCCATACAACAGTTGGATGTTTTTGAAGGTCCGATCTTGGTCCGTCTTATGACTCAGTATCATCTCAAGAAATGGGAGAACAACACAAATGGATCAGGGGGACTTGAACCCAAAGACTAAAACAATCCCACTTATATACTCGTGGGGGTCGTATTTGGATCCAGCATGATCCAGCCGTAGCCTTTTAATCCTGCTTTGTACTGGCATTGGTGAAGAGGATGACTAATACCGTCTAATACCCATGAATTCAGATCCCCAACCTTGGATTGGGATTTGAACTGGGTGTCCAAAGTCCTGTAGTGTGGACAGGCGGTCAATTGCCCTTGCACAAAGGCGGGTTTGCAAGAGAGATTAATCCAATCTCAAGTGACCTCAGGGAGTCCATGACATGTCTAGTGTCCTTCGGCCCTCTCATCACATTCTTTCCGGCTTCCCTGTCAAGATGGGCATAAGATGTGTTAATGAGGAATCATGTAGCATTTGATTCAGCCACAGTCATTTGGTGGAACCACCACACCGTACCCAGATGCCAGGACCCTGGGACTGCACCACCTTTTGTTTGCTCTCCAAAGAGATCCCTCCACAGCTTGGCTGAATCCGTTGCCCCGTTGCCCGTGGAAAGGCACGAGAAAGCGCAGGTGCTCCTGGAGGAGGTGCGCTCGAAGCCTTGCAAGGCTTGTCTCCTGATGCACTGCAAGGCAACTTGGATGGACACGAGGCGATCTCATAGTCGAGGCCCAGGCAGACAGTTATACCGTCAAACGAGTCTGCGGGCATGTGACTGCCTTTACACATCCCATGTTTTCGAAAGGACGAAACGCGATGAACATTCCGCGTCGTTCGAACGTTTGGCTCAAGAAAGAGGCGCTTGCGTGCGCTTCGGTTTTTTCATTTCCCGCTCGCAGGTTATGAGCCCAAGTTTGCCATGTCGATGTCGACTTTGAGACGGAGAAGGTCAGAAGCAGCCAAACGAGAAGAAGAAGGCACCCTGGAGATCGGGGTGGCTGACCGAAGACTCGACGCCTTGATCGAGGAGGAGGTGCGAAGAACGAGGTCGGCTGACGCGGGTCCGAGAAGATCCACGGCAGAGGCTAGCACCCCGCAAGGCCGACCAAAGGCCCTTCGACCAAGTCCGTCACAAGAACCCAGAGACCGGACGACAGCTGCTGGGGGAGAGCCAACGGATCCCTCATCTCTGAAGTCTGTGAAGCCAGTTGACCCGGCAAGGTCGCTATCGGTGGAGCCTGGACATGATCTTCCTCATGGGGGTTTGGGGGCACTTCATGATGCGGTTCAACAAACTTATCACGTATTGCGACACGCACTAGGTCAGCACCGTCAAGGGCAAGGGCTATTAGGACCTCTTGGACCTCCCATCGATCAACCTGCTCATGGAGGGCTGTTTGGTGATGGCCGGATGCAGGTCGACCCACGTGCACTGGAATATGGTTCCGGGGGAGCTCAAACCCCGGTGCGACCGCAGGAGCCTAATCCTTTTTGGAGCCCAGCTTTGCAGGATACGATGAGGAGGGCGTCTTCGGGCCTCAGTGGAGATCTATCGGGAGGAGCTGATTCTCGACGCCTTCATGTACCAGGTGGTGAACCTGTCCCGCGGGTTATAGCTGAAGGGAATGCTATGCCGGCAGCGGCCTCGGGATCGCCGGTGCGTGATGATGTGGAAGCTTTGAGAACCCGCATCCTCAAGGAGGCGGAGGAAAACTTTGATCGGGAGGTCAAACGTCTCTTGGCAGCTAAGGAACCGGCGGACACGACCTCCTACAAGACTGCATCAAGTGGGCCTCAGACAGGGGTGGACTCGGAGACCTATGCTGGACCTGAGCGACCACCTGGACTTCATCATGGTGACCTGGGTGGTAAGGACCGAGGACCGGATTTGAGTTCGAAGGTCGTTCGTGTTGGTGGTGCGGCAACTCCGGCGGCAATGGCTGAAGCTCTGAGGAATTTGGAACTTCCTCCCTTGCCATCACCCAACTCCGAGGGGGCATCTATCCTCTTTGGAGATTGGTTGACGATGAGCTTCCCGCTGATGGCTGACATCTCAAATAGTGCAAAGGCCTGGTGGGAGGAATCGCTGACCATTGCGCAGGACCACTATGCTCGCTGGTTGACGATGAGTCCATTGGAACGCCTGAGAGCAAAGCCAGTGGTGGTGGTGGAACCTGCCCTACAGAGGATTGAACAACGTGGCATTGCAATGTTGTTGGGAGCATTGCCGGATCAGCTCCGGCGCGACCTGGTCAGTGGACGGCAGCTCTCGGTCGTCTACATCCTGTACAAGTTGCATGTGACGTACCAGCCGGGAGGAGGTGCTGAAAAAACACAACTCCTCAAAAATTTAGTGGAAACGAAGTTTGCCACCCAGACATCGGAGTTGTTGACACAGGTCCGGTTGTGGCGACGATGGCTTGCACGTGCACAAGAGCTCAACCTTGCTCTACCTGACCCTGTGGTTCTCATGGTCACCGTGCAACGCATGATTGAGAGCGCCACCAAATCAGGCGGAGCTCAAATGGCATTTCGAATTGCCAACGTACGGCAAGAATTGAGAGTTGATTATGCAGCTACAGTGGAGGCTGTTATGGAGCTCTCGGAGTATGTGCAGGCAGAGGTGGAAGAGATTTCGCTGACTACGCCCATGAAGTCGCAGCCGGTGACCACCAATGCTGGAGCAGCTGGAACACAGCCGACGACGTCTGTGAAGGCTATGGCATCAGCGTTCGGGGCGGTGGACTCCGATGATCGACCTTCGCAGAAGTTGGCTTGCAAGTTCTGGAAGAGTGATGAGGGTTGTAAACGTGGTAACAGTTGCACCTACGCCCATGACAATGTGGACATGAAGGGTCGCTGCTTCAATTGTGGAGGACTTCACATGAAGAAGGACTGTCCAAATGGGCCGAAGGGGGTGAAGCCGGACGCCAAGAAGGTCTCCAAGGTGAAGACTATGAAGGAAGGGGAGAAGATGAATGGGGGTGAGAAGAATGTCAAGGGAGGCTCTCCTGGTGATGAACCAGCTGACGAGAATGTGAATGTCCCTGTGACTGCTGTTCCCAAGCGACTTGACTCCCCGGAAAAGCCTGTGGCAAAGGATGCAACCGCTGAGCTGTTGTCGGAGGCCACGTCGTTGCTCAAGACGCTGAGGAGCATGAAGATGCTGCGGGTGAAAGAGCTCAAACACAAGTTTGGCACGGATGAGGAGGCAGTGGGTCTCCTGGATGGAGGCGCAACGAATGGGCTCAGAGAAGCCTATCCACACGAGATGCCACACCTGGTTCCCGTTCGAGTAGAATTGGCTTCAGGATCAGCCACCTTGTACAAAGTCAACGAGCATCGAACTCTGTTGTCGAAGGAGAAGGTGGAGGTGATTGTTCCGCTGCATCGACTGGTGGGATTGGGATATCGGCTGAATTGGTCGAAGGGAGGTGTCAAGATCTCTCATCCCGAGTATGGCCGGATCGAATGCACTCTGAGAGGAGGATGTCCAGTCCTACCTGAACGTCAGGCCCTCGCATTGCTGGAGGTGATAGAGAAGGCTGATCGGGGGGAGCTCATGATTGATGAGGAGATCAAGTCCTGGTGGACCAAGATGTTTCCTGAAGTTCCTGAAGAAACTTGGAACTATATGAAGGGGCAGACATCATTTGACCCCCAGGTTTGCCCGTGGAATCGACACCAGAGGAGGAGGCATGAGAGGTCGAAGGGGATCATCTTGCACCTCTACAGCGGAAAGGACTCTCAGTCTTGGCTCAACATGGACTGGCATGGCTATGAGGTCATCAACGTGGACATCATCAACGGAGCACAATATGATATGCACTCCATTGGCACTTGGAGCTACCTTTGTCATCTTGCACGAAGTGGGAAGGTGGTGGCTGTGCTTGGAGGACCCCCATGTCGGAGTGTGTCGCGACTGCGTCATCGAGGCCCAGGACCACGCCCAGTGAGGGGGAGAGATGAACGACGATTTGGTCTACCTGGCCTTTCATCTGTGGAGAAGGACCTTGTTGTCGGTGACCTGGCACTGTTGTTGAAACAAGCAGGACTCTGGATCATGGCAAGCGAGGCGATGAACCTCGTTGGAAAGGCAGAGAATCCCTGCAGAGTGCCGCCGGCATTTCTGATGGAATCACCTCGTGACCCGGTCTCCTACATGCAGCAGGAGGCACTGGAGCAGGACATGGCATCGTACTGGAACTTCCGTGAGGTGAATGATTTAGCACAACTCATGAAAGCCAGCTTTGTCACCCTGGATCAAGGACCGATTGGTCATATCAAGCGGAAGCCTACAACCTTGATGGTGGCCAACTTGCCGGATATGCTCGAACTTCAAGGCATTTCGGGGGATGGCACTGGGCAGGAAGTTGCAGGTTCACTCCAAGGACGACTCGTCCAATCCAGAGAATGGTCGGCATGGGCCCCCGGGCTGGTAGCTGCTATTCAAGAGAGCCTGAAGAGGTTTGTGCAGCGACTGGATGCTCAAGAAGGTGGTCCACAAGATCGCAAAGCAGCAGTGTGCCGCTTAGACATGGAAGGATGGAAGGTTCATGTGAGGAACCAACATCAGCCATTTCGCAGGGACTGTCGCCGATGCATGGAGATGATGGGCTCTGATGTTCCTCATCGACGCACTATGGGTGACAGGGCAGCTCACTGCTTATCGTATGACATCGTGGGGCCAATGCCAGTTGGAGATGATTTGGGCCTCGGTTTGAAGGCCAAGTACATGATGGTGGCGACTGTGGCCATTCCACGATTGCCTCGAGAACATGAAGAATTCAAGGAGATGGAGGAATTGGATGATGGGGAGGAGGGCGAACTGCTTCCCATTGGAGATGGAGAAGGTGCGGCAGAAGGGGATGATCCGGAGCAGGTGGAGGTGTCGGATGAGCAGGTGGAGAACCTCAACACAGCCTGGAAGGAGCACATCAGAGACCTGAGCGCACCAATTGGCGTCCAGAATGTCACAGTGGTGGAGCCGCTTGAGAGCCGGTCGCAGGTTGATGTCACCAAGGTTGCAACCCGCATATACTGCCGCTTCAAGGCGATGGGCATGAAGATGCTTAGAGTTCACACAGATAGAGAGTGTGCCTTCTTGTCCAGGAGTTTCCAAGCATTCTGCCGACGCTTTGGAATGTACCAAACTATGACAGGAGGAGATGAAGGACCTTCAAATGGCCGAATCGAGGCGGAGGTCCACCAGGTGAAAAGAAGACTCAGGTTGCTCATTAAGGAAAGTGGCCTGGAAGAAAGGTGGTGGCCGGGCATTGCGCGCTATGTTGGAGAGGAGAGGCTGAGGCGCCAATGTGCCAATCTTGGTGTTCCAAGTGCCCCGCTGCTGCCGATTGGGGGGAGGGTGACAGTGAAGACCAAGCGCTGGCATAGAGCAGGGTTTGGACCTTTGACACCGCCCTTTCGAACTATGACTTTGATGGGTCCCTCGCCATTTATGTCTCAGGGCTATGTGCTGTTTGACAGCGGCCATGTGCAACATGCTCGGGTTGCGGTCCAGACTGATCCAGCTGCTGAACGGGCTGTTCTGGAACTACAAGCTGTCCAGGAACCAGAACGACCTCAAAAACGAATGGTGGGTAAGCAGCCAATGGAACCGATGCTTCCTCAACTTCCCCCACCGCGGCTTTCTGATGATCCTGGACTATGCACCGTCCGGTGCAACCCAGTTGGAGAGCCAGTCCTACACCAAGGTCAGACTGGGGGGGAGTCTTTGCAGCTTTCTATGCCACTAGGGGCGCGTGTGAAGATCACTGGTGGAGGAAGGGCATTGGTTTGCAAGGAGTGTGGACTGCAAATGGCGCATCTGTCGTTCAAACGCCTTGAACTCCCTCGACAATGCGAATTCTGTGAGACTCCAATGGATGAACCTGGTGAAACATCAATCGATGGGACCGTGGAGTATGACATGCAGAAGGCCCTGAAGTTGACTCAAAGGTTGGAAGAAGAGCATTGGGGCTGGAAACAGCTCTGGTGTGACATGTTGAAGGAGGTGGCGGTTGGCGACGTGGAGGGTCAGCTGCAGGGAGCTATGATGGACTACTTGGAAAAGAATGTCCAGGCCTTGGAGGAGGACCTCACGGAGATTCGAGATTGTGCTGTGACTCACCAGTTGGCATCGATGACCGCTGGACAGCACTTAGAGGAGAAGGAGGGTTCGGATGATCGGCTGGGGGTGCATGCTGTTCTTCAGACGTACACTGTCCCACTTGCACAAGTTCGACGAGAACTGAAAGATTGGATCCCGTCGCTTGAGTATGAGGTGAACTCCCTTGAGAAGACCACCAGGGCAGTGAGGCCCATTCAGGTTCAAGACCTTAAGGAGGAGCCGGGCTACAATGAGATGCTGGTGGTTCCCTCGAAATTGGTTCCTACGGTGAAGGCCCCGGATGGAAAGAAGCGATCTCGCATAGTTCTATGTGGAAACCTTGTTGAAGACACCTCAGCTCGTCTCCAAGCTCATTCCTGTGAAAATGATGCTGGTGGTGGCGATAGTGGAGGCAAGCCGCCTGGAAAGTCGTTTGAGCTGTATGCAAGTGGCATTGATGGAAGTTCATTGAGGTGTGCACTCCGCAAGGCAGCTCAGGAGCAGTGGTCAATAGGCATCACTGACGTATCCTCGGCTTTCCTCCTGGCACCAAGAAAGTCCTCGCGCCTCATGGTCACCAAGCCCCCATCGATCCTGACTGACTGAAGCAGGAATCCTTTCCAAGGACACCCGGTGGATTGTGGAAGCTGCTGTTTATGGTTTGGACAGTTCCCCGGCTGACTGGCAGTCCTATCGGGACGAAGTGCTTCGAGGAATGAGGTGGTGGGAGGGCGGCAGGCATTATTGGATCCATGCCACTCCGGAGCCTAATGTCTGGAGGTTGATGTCTGCTGATGGTGAGGAGATGGACTATGTGAATGTCATGGAGGAGGGCAAGGCGGTGGGATTCGCCTTATCCTATGTGGATGACTTCATCGTGATGGGTGATCGGCTGGTGGCACAAGCGTTTTTGTCCAAGCTGGCGGCTACCTGGAAGTGTGCTCCTCCTACCTGGGTGGTGGATTCGGAATGGCGAAAGTTTTGTGGAGTGGAGATGAAGTGGGACGGCAGCAGCTTGCTCATTGGCCAGCCTGACTATGCTCGGGAGATAGTCGCTCGCCATTCGGATGTCCCGTTGAGGAGCTCTCCACTTCCGAAGGTGATTGAGATGGACATTGAAGAGACCATCAACCCGGAGGATGTGAAGCGCTGTCAAACTGTGATCGGAGAACTGTTATGGCTCTCTACTAGGACGAGGCCGGACTTGAGCTTCGCCGTGTCGTACCTGACAGCGCGTGTGACAAAGTCTCCAAAGGGGGTATTGAGCCTTGCTGACCATGTGTTGGGCTATGTGGCATCAACCCTGGACTTTGCCCTGGAGTATGGTCCATGTTCGGACCAATGTGACCAGTATGGACGAGTGCACAATTTGAATCGGCTGGAGGTGTTGACCGATTCATCCTTTGCTCCCACTGGTGGCAAGGGTCACCAGGGAATCATGGCTATGTGGGCAGGCTGTTTGGTGGCTTGGGAGTCAAAGGCTCAGGCATTTGCAACTCTCAGCACCACAGAGAGTGAGCTGCTTGGCTACATTGATGGCCTCACCCTGGGAGAAAGCGTTGGAGCGGTCGTGAACGTTCTGCAGGAGAACATCCTGGACCGTGAGGGTTCGTATGTCCTGAGAGGAGACAATCTCTCAGGCTTGCAGCTGCTTCAAGCACCTTCAGGCCCGTGGCGCACCCGGCATCTACGGTTGAGAAGTCATGTTCTTCGTGAACGCCTCAAGCACCACCTCTGGAGTGTGGAGCATGTGCCTGGCGCGGAATTGTGCGCCGACCTATTGACCAAATCCATCACACAGTCTCAATCGTGGGATGCCTTCCGCCGTTCGGTTGGTCTTCGTGCTGCTGCAACACCTGTCCCCAATGAGGTGAGTATGTCGAGGGCAAGGAAGGTAGCTTGTGCCGCGATGGCATCCTTGGGCCTGCTAGCAGCGGTGCCTGGTTTGGGGGGGAGCAGTGAAGCTGGCATCGCTCTTGGGTTTGGCAGCTGCGGCTACAGTGGCTGTGAATGCATTCACGACGGCGACAGGCCAGTCGAATAAGAGGTCTAACGCATCCCACATCAAGAAGCTGTCAAGATGGGTGAGGGAAGATGAACCCACCCCAAGTAGGCCTGAGGTGATCAAGAAGGATTCAAGATGGGTGAGGGAAGATGAACCCACCCCAAGTAGGGTTGAGGAGGTCAAGAAGGATTCAAGATGGCTGAGGGAAGATGAACCCAGCCCTTGTAGGCAAGGTCAGGTCTCGACCGCCGTTCGCTCGATAGCCGACGACTTTTGCCACCTTGGCACCCCGGCCGATGGATCGACCTTGAAGCCATGGAATCCAACTTTGCGGCTCTGCGCCATGAAGGCGCCTCCTGCCCATAGAGGATTGGGCACAGACACGCCGTGGGTTTTGGGGAGGTTCGCGACGCCTCCTACGGGTGCAGATCGATGAGAATGCCTGGGAGCAGGCGATGGTGCTGGTGAATGGTGGGTTCGTGTTCTCAAGAAAAGCAGGGTGAGATCATTCCACCCACTACACCGGGGCACTCCCTTCCAGATCTCGAGGATGTCACCTACCAGAGTGACTGTGGCATTCCATCGGGGATCAACTCGAGAAGCCTGGCGGCGGCAAGTGCTGACGGACGATTGGACCGCATCGAGGAATTGTGACATTGAGGGTGTATATGAGTGGATAGGCTATGCCTTCTTCTATGTCCGCTTCGTGGGAGCGATGGAAGGGGCTCAACTTGATCCCGATTGTGGAGTTGCACCGGGACCGCACCCTCCTCCGGGGACCCATGAGCAGGCTGCGCGGGGCTATGGAAACACGTCATCTACTCGGTCTCGTGCCTTGGAACGGGGTAGGAGTGCGGAACTCCCTGTCGGAGAGAACGTAGGGAAGGGGCCTGCAGTGGCCTACGATGGATCTGCAATCACTGCTCGTGGCATTGCCTCCTCCGATGGTGTCCCAAGCGTTGGCTACATTGAGCGGCTCCAAGGGCATCAAGCTCGAGGAGAAAACCACATGGATGAGATGGAAAGGGCCTGGCGGCATTCTTTGTGCTCTGAGGGTCTGCATCCGTCTGAGGCTGACACCTGGCCTGAGTGGATGGGAATTTCAACTACAGTGGGTCAAAGACCCGTCACGCCACCTGTGGGCCTAGAAGAAGACTCGCAGTCAGATGGTAGTTTTGAGAAAATGGCATGAGCAATCTGCTGTATGCCCAAGGAATGATGGAAAGCCATCATTGGGGGAGTGCGGGCATGTGACTGCCTTTACACATCCCATGTTTTCGAAAGGACGAAACGCGATGAACATTCCGCGTCGTTCGAACGTTTGGCTCAAGAAAGAGGCGCTTGCGTGCGCTTCGGTTTTTTTCATTTCCCGCTCGCAGAGTCAAACGCACATTGATGTGTAGATTATGTAGACTGACAGCTCGTTTCTATTTTAATGAGTGGTGCACCTGGAATCTCCAATTTGCCTCCAATCATTGGACTGAGGCAAGCTGCTCTCCATCGTTTTGGACGTGGCTCAGGGGGTTTTGGGCGAACAACTGGAGGAGGACGCACCGCTCATGGAGAGTGGCCTTGATTCCTTGTCGGCTGTGGACTTCCGGAACCAGGAGCGGTGCGTCCACAAAATGGGCAGCTGAAGACGAGCTGTTTAGACGCCAGCGGGAACCACTGATATCACCTTTAGTAATTATCTTATTTAATATATGTCTATTATGACTACTGTAATAATGGTCTATACTCTCTACATTGAGGTTTGTGCATGAGCCAGAGACGTGAAGTACAGTAGAAGCCTCATCCAGTGACATTCTTGAGCATTTGCCAGTACAGTAATTTATATTGTGCAAGAGGGACCAATTCCAAGGAGTCTAGTTTTGGAGCCTTAGGAGCTGGCTAGTAAAGCTTTGCGAAGAACAGAGTCCCAAGGGACTCCCGTGTTGACTCTTTTGAAGTTAATCTTTGCTTTAAATCAGGGTTGTACTACCCTAACAGAGCGGGTAGACACTGGTTCTGACTAAGCCATGATGAACCCTTTAAATATAGCGGTTGCTGGGTGTCACTAAAGAACCTCAAGCTATTGACAGTCTTTGGCTAAAGGACTCCTCAGATGTTCTGATTTGGATGTCAAAAGTAGTTGTTTAGAATGGTCTGACTTGAAGATCCTAATTACATATCGTGACCGTCATTTGTTTCAGGTTCCCAGGCAGGGATTCCAATTTAATAGATGGTCGCTTTCCATATACTGCATGCTCTTTACCGTCCAAAGAAGCATTTGTTCAAGCCCGTTGGATCAGTTACTACTAGCGATGCACTTGTTACTACTAGCGTGGCACTGAACTGACCTCACTTCGAGACGACAAACATACGCATGAGTCGCGCCGCACCTTCCACTGGACCAATGTTTGGCGCGGTGCGACCACACGACAGGTGGCGAAGCAATTGCCTGGATTGAAGCTGCCGAACACCTTGATGTTCGACTATCCCAGCCCACAGGCGCTGGCGGAAAGGTAGCATCTGGGTGGAGAGGTGGGTTTCACATGGTTTCATCAGACATTTGACCTCTCGGACATGCAAGCACTGTAGCCAACTATTTCAGGATTACTGGGCTTTCGCTGTTGACCACTTGGATGTCGGAAGGTCCATAGTAACTACTATGCTCAGGTAAGCCAATAGTATGAAAATGCCCTGTGAACTGGGGAGTCTTTCTGTTGTATTCCTATATATTTCTCTTGATCAGAACTATGTATCCTCAAACGTGTAAGATGAAATCAACGTAGCCTACGGTCTCACGACTTCCAATGTATTTTTATTGAACAAAGTGTATAGCATAAACGACCAGACCCTTCAGGCCATGCAACACATCTACTGTAGTAGCAAATTCAACATCCTCTTGGACAGATTATCACTCTAGAGCACACCAAATGCAAGCCATTCTTCTTCCATGTCGCAGGCCATCGCCAAGTACGCCACAGCCCAATTGGCTCCAGCCGCCGCTGCTCCCACGGCTGCACCGGCACGCGCGCCGCTTGTCGGGGCTGCGGAGCGAGGGCCATTGGCGGTGCTCTCCAGCGCCTGCCGTTTCCCTGCTGGTGGCGATGATCCAGACGTTTTCTGGACTGCTTTGGTGGCTTGGTCGGTTTAGTTTAGTGTTGAACATGAAAGAAAAGAAGAACGAACATGAAACCCCATTCAAGATCCCATTCAAGAGAGAGGATCAATCAAAGGCAAGGGAGCGAAGGCTAGATAGGTGTGCCACAACATAGACAACCCAGGGCGAATGCAACATGGGCAACATTTTGTTGGTTGGCTTATTCACCCCACAAGAATCCGACGACGTTCACCCCTCGATAACACTATTCCAGTGGAATCCAGCCGCTTTGATATACCACAACAGGCAGATATGATATATTGATGTAACCAAGGTTTCGGCTTTGTTCGTCTCCAGTTGGTTTTTGAAGCGGCCCCTAAGTAGATGTAGGTAAAATGGGACAACAAAATTAATTGGGTATCCTGAAGACTCCGTCAGGATCCATCTGGGGTTCCCAGAGTGTGCCAGGGTCTAAACATTTGGCTGTATGAGTTAAATGTTGAAAGCGTGGTCATCCCCTTTTTGTGGGAACTCTCACACGCCCACTGGTACGGACGTTGGCAGGATGCACACAGTTCGAGTCCTTCCTAGGAGCAGGATTTAGGCTTGCACCCTTCGGGCACGGAAGTCTTGCAATGCAAGGTGCAGAAGACAGATGGTGTCAGTGAGATCCCCTATGACCGATGGGACGTGGATGAGTACTTCGACCCCTCTCCCAACGCGGTGGGCCGCATGTACGTGCGCCATGCTGCTTTCATTCAAAACGCGGACTGCTTTGATGCCATGCTGTTTGGTATCTCTGGAGCGGAGGCAGCCCGAGGGACATGTGATATGGACGGTTACAATGTGTAACTGGTGGCTTTGGAACGAACTGTCAGGAGCTGCGGGCATCGCATCCCACAATCCCAAACAGGAGCCAAGGAGGAGTTACAAAGCAGGGATATCTCAGAACCACCTAGAAGCTGGAGTGTTTTGGAGTACCAGTACCAGCCGCACAGAATATGACAGTTTCCTATCCAAAACAAGGTCAGATGGGTTCTAGAAGTTCTCGGCACTTGCTTAGGGTTGATGGATGGACTTGGGGGAAGGTCTCAGACTCAGGAGATCGGTGTTCCCAATTGGATCAACCTTTGTGACAGATGGACCAGATCACCCGGACCACCCAACCAGCTCCGTTGACGTGGACGCCCAAGCAGGCAGCCAGTATGGATCCACAGCAGCGTCTCCTACTGGAGCATCTAGGCAGTGGAACACCTGTCAGTGAGGCTCAATGGACCAGCCCAGCTGGGTCACCCAAGACCATGCAAAATATAAACATACTGTAATGCAAAATCGGAGGTCTTCACCAGTCTTCACTCACAGGCTGTAGGTCATCCAAAATATCCACACATTATACGTTCACTTCAACTTGGTTCCACCGCTCATCTCGAGGTCGATGTTTTGAGCCCAACGTGGAACGGTAACCGGCAAGGACGCTACTAGGAGCTCCTGGCCGTACTACTAGGAGCAAGAAGCTACTAGGGGCTCCTGGCATCGCTACTAGGAGCAAGGACGCCACTAATGATGGCAACCGGCAACACATCAAAATTTGCAGCAAAATCGCCTGGTCACCTGCCGAGGATCGTTCAGGAGGCCTTCTCTGCTTCCAAGGGCTTGTTGGCGGTGGGTGGGGACAGCTCGCCTCTCACCAACAAAGACATTGGCAGCTTCGTGGGTGAATGCAACAACGATACTTGGCTTTGGCCAGCAGATGAATATTCATTATCCGAAACCATCGGCATTCGGTGTTGTTTTTGTTTTTCCTTTTCTCTCAAACGAAGAAACATATATAGTCTTCCAGTAGCAGTACCAGGTTTTGTAGATTTCCAATGTTGGTACTGTGCAGGTTCATCCCTGCTCAGTTCAGTTTTTGTTGCAAAAGCAGCGGTCAATCCCAACACCAGGGCTTTGTCACTCCAAAGTTAGTACATGAGATAAATCCATTTGCTATCAATTAACCTCAAGGAACCCACCGGGTACTCCATGTCTTTTGCGCGGTTCAACCATAATCCGGCCCGCCGGCAATGCATTGAGAGGTGCGCTTTTCGCTGCCAGGGGGGAAGTGTTCTGCGGGCGTTCCCAGGATTGGGGTCACTTCAAGAATTTGAAGACTGAGAAGATGAATCCCTTCAGCGGCACGGGCGGTTCGATGTCCATCTCCTCTAACCGCTTGGCCTATGTCTTTGGCTTCCGTGGCCCCAGTGGCTTGGCAGCTGTGATGCCGAAGAAAAAAGGGCCGTAGCATCCCCACAACACCAGCTGAAGCTGGATTTGTTCCTTACTTACTTCTATTGTGTTGACCTGATCCAATAAGTCCAAGTAAACTTTGATCCTCTTTAATCATCCTCTTTAAACATTCGTAGGTGTTTGTGGTTGTAGGGCCGACCCAACAGCCCCTTGTCAATTTGTGGCTTGGAGCAGACCCTGTTTGCCTCCGTCTTATAGCCCCCAACATTTAGCCCCTTAGAGCGAACGTGCATTGGAACAACCGTGCAATTGCAAAAGCTGTCTCGCACACATGTAACAATTGTATAATGATCGTCGCGGTGGTGGTAACCGACGGCAATGCCATCTCAGCCAATTCCAAGCGGGTTCCTTTGGCGCGCCGGCCATCCCTTCACCAAACAATACTCTCACCCGAGGGACAGACTTATGCAGCCACTCTCACTCTGTACAATCATGAAAACAACAGTAAACAGGGAAAAGTATCAACCACCGTTACACGATGAGCCCGAGTGATCACCCCAGACGAGCGTGTAGCATGGAAGACATTGCAGCATGGCCGTCATTTCCCTGGGTGTCTCTGCCCCTGAAACATCCAAAAACTTTTGAAAGGAAGTAGTGCGAATAACCGGATCCAACTGAGCACACGCTGCTCCCCCACCCTCTAGTTTTCGGAGTAAGCAATTATCGAGACGGCATCATTGCTTGAGCCTCTAAGCATCCCTTTGTGACCTTGTCTGTTTGACACTGTTATGCTTTCTCCACTTTGTCCGCTTGTGAAACCGTGACCTATGTGCAAAACTTTCTGCAAAATTACCGTCGCTGCACTTTTGGCATTCCCTGGAATATCTGATTCAAGTGCGCAGCCAAGTGTCTTTCCCTACTCCTCACACATTCTCCAATGTACTCCCTCTGTGTTCCTTTTCATCATATGCCTCGGTTGTGACTACCAAGTAGGCGAGCCCACCTTCGGATCAGCCCCAACGGGGATATATAACTCGGACCCAGACATGGAAAGTCGCCAAGGGAAGAGTCACCTTTTGAGACTCAACGCCCCCTGAACCGAAACCGGCATGGAGCCCGTTCTCCCCATACAAAGACGAACTAACATACGGTACAAACAAAACCGAACAAACAGCCCGCAGGACCAGATTCGGATTGTCCTTGTCCAACCATGGGACTCTAAACCAACCCACCCGTGACAAGCTCACATGATGGGCTGCACGCATAACGATTATATACTTTGACATTTTTTGACACATTCCGCATGTGAGGGAGATCATACTAGTCCGTCCAGTGTCGGCAATGATTAGCCACATCAGCCAACCAAGAACTCGGCGAAGCTGTACCAGTCCATGCTTATGTTCTCCCGGTATCCTGCCTGTTGCTCCAACTACTGTACCTCCTGAAAAAGTACTTAGCGGCGTTTTGAGGGTCAGTCCCCTTCTGTAGTTGGAGCCCGTTGGTGGGAATCTAAAACTATCTAAAACTTAAAACTGTGTTCTCTACTTGAAGCCTTCTCCTACACTGTCAGGGTAAGCTGCTTGGCTATGGGGCAAACCATACAGCTGTAGAGCCTTTCATGGTTTGTAGAGGAACAGGTTTGACTATACATCACTGGCATCGAGGTGAAAGGCTATTTTCATTTGCCAAAGTTGTGTGTACATGTTCAAGCCCGTTCTGGGAGTATACCCAGCTGAAGCATTTGAGGTGTCACCTCCGATACGGCTTGTTCCTCCTCCCTGGTGGCGCTTGACACTGCCTGTGCCAACATTGGTCGTAACCGCTGCAGCGCCTCTGTGTCAGCAGGTGTCAACATGAATCTGCCACTTGGTCCTACCAGTCAGCAGGTCTAGACTATTTTGACCAACCTGGTAGGTTACCATTTCACTGGAGGCTGTTGGATCCAGTCTCAGATTCTCTCAGTTTTGGGCGGGCTTTCGGGGGAAGTCATTGAGCATGTCTATGTTGGGTGAAAACAGGGGGCCATCGATGACAAGCGTGTTACATACATAGCATGCTGGATCTTCGGAATTCCCTCGGACCACATGCTTGGGGTCACGTCCACTCCAATCTGCACGGAACAATACATGTTGACAAATCACTGCTGAAAAACACTGGCAGCACCAAAAGCACTGCAAATGTATAATTCTGGTGTTGCTCATCGCAAATGGTGCAGCAGGAGCCCCACCGTGAACAACATTAGTCGCAACAACACGTCTGAGTCTTGGTTTGGAGACCAGTGACCCACCTGTCAAGTCGCCGGGCGCCAGCACGCCTACTCCCAAGTGTCTGGACAGCATGTAGTGGTGGCATATGCTGGCCACTCATAGTCCATATTTCTTGATCCACACCAAACTGGGAAACCGCTTCATGCCTATATAAATAAAATGAAGGGCAACCCAGGCATTGTCCACCGATCTGGAGGGGTTGATTTTGTGAAATTTGTTTTGACTCAACCCCCTCATCAGTGCAACCCATGTCCGCCAAGGTTGCCTGGGCCCTTCGTGGCTTGCTGCCAGGCTTCTGACTGTCAAAACTGGGTGGAGATGTTGTGAGACTTCTCCATTCAATGACACCTAAACATGTAGGGTGAGGTTGCTGCAAATAGGGGATCTTCACAAGCGGATTGACTTTAGTCAGCCTAGCGTTTGATCAAGTTGCAGGATTCTAGTAGTGAGGATAGAACTATATTGGAACATGAAAACGAAATGGATTAGATGGATAGGGGGAGAGGCGCTTGAGTCAGAGTTTTGGGCCCTTGATGTGCACTTTTGGAGATACCAAGCAGAATAAAGCAACACTGTAGGGTGGTTCCCTCTTTTGCATCCGTCCATACCCAATCACCGCCCACACAGAGGCCATTATTTGTTCCACGACAAACCACGCAAACCATTTGTGTTCCTTTCAGCCACCGGACGATGTTTTGATGCATCCAAACCGAACATCTCCATCCCACCTACAGTACAAAGGTTGAACAACCCAACTCAAAAGCCTATCCCACATCATCTCCATTCTTGGGTCCCATTTCAGATCTCTTAAACTCTCTTGGTATATTCATGCTCAAACCCACAGACATAATTTGCATTCACATCCATTCACGTCCATTAGCATCCCTCCCTCCCATTCTTCTCTGATCATCTCCCTCCCCAACTACTCCACGCAGGCGAAGATGCTCTCGGAGGGCGGTCGTTGTAAGACCTTCGATGCCTCGGCAGACGGCTACTCTCGAGGCGAAGGCGAGTGTTTTTGGCGGATGAGTTGAGGCGGCAAAGAGGAGACATGTGGAAGAAACAGACGGGTGGAAGAAACACTTTCGAAGCACCGGGGCTGAGGCAAAAGCAAGAAGTTGCAAGAAGTATGCAAGAAGTTTGTTTTTGGTTGGAAATTGGATGACTCAATGTCTAATTATATAATGCCTTGATTCTGTTTGAGACCATGCATTCAGACCCGGAAGCAGAGGTTGAGCATTGTTCTTCAGCTTCCTTTGTTCTTCAATTTATACAAGAGGATCTCTTCACATTGAGCTAAACAGCACCTTGCCATGGATCGTTTTTCCATGAGCTTTTTGTTGGGACTTCGCAGAGGTTTGCGACAACCATCGGCTTTCCAAAAATGAACGCCCACAGAACTAAGTTGAACCAAGACAGAATTCTTTGCACTCCTAGGCGCTGGCACCATCCTCATCCGCCGTTTGTCGGAGCTGGCTGAGCATGGCCTGTGTGCTATCAGCGGCACTGCTGCAAACCAGGACTTGTTCCAGTCAATACGAGTTCTGACATACCGCTAGTGCGCTACCTGTCAGGTGGACAATATAGGGGTGACTCGTGGAGAATCCTTTTGAATTTGTTGTTCATGCCTTGGCCTCCTGTTCCTTCTTCCTCCTACCTCTTTCCTCTGCAGTTCTGAGAAGTTTGGCCTTCTGTGAAAGAAACCCCTGAGGCCCCCTGGGCCTGTGGCAGTATGTAAAGTATTCCTGGTATTCCTGGTGTTGTGAAGGGATCACAGACACCCAGATTAATTTCATCCCCGAGCACTCCACCTTAGACTTTTGGTCAGAGGAGTTCAACTCCTCGCTGTCAGGAATCTCCACATTTGAGACGAGGGTATGACAGTGGCGCTCAGAGATTGGCTTCCGTTCCCCCTGTCCAAAGTATCCTCCAATCATGGCGCTTCAGAACTATAGTCACAGTATCATGTTCCTCACCGCATTTTTGCCGACACCTAACTTACATGAACATCAGTATTCATGAATCATCCCTTAGAAGTCCAAATTGGTATTGGAGCATTTCTATCCAATATCCGACAGGGAGAGATCTGTCTCCCTTCACCCAGATAGGCACGCACGTGCACCGTGCGCGGCAGGACGGAAGGAGCTCGTCTTTGACAGCACCCAATGGCCCGGCACAGCAGGAGGTCATTTGGACAGCCTGGCAAGAGGCTGGCGAAACACCAGGTGCGAGAGCATGGTCGGGGATGATGCCAAGAGGATGCAGAAGGGTGAGGGATGAACCATCCATCCCCGATTTTGTATTTGTTTGGGGACAATCGGCAATAATCGGCTTTGAGGAAAGGACTCAAGGGGATGCAGGCAGCATATATACTGTATACGTGCATATTGAATATGTACCGTATCACCTGGACCATATCCATTTACTGTTACTTATCAGTGGTCCGAGCGGTTCCACAGAAACCCTCTTTGATTCCCCCAAAATGGCCCACCCGGCTTCTAGTTGCTAACTTCTAGGTACTTGGTCGAAACTCAATCTCCACCATCTACTGTATACCGATTCCTAGATGTGTCTGATGTGTCTTACTAAGGACTTATGGTTGGCCGATCTCCAAAAAGAACAAGTGAAGAAAGCCCCTGAGACCTGATGGCTAGAAGCGGAATATTGAGCGCCCCATCTAATCTAGGCGTTCCTCAATAATTTTGTCAGAATCTATGTTTTGTTCATTATCTATACGGGGAGGATCCAAGTTAATTATAAGATTTCAAGAGTTTCCAATTGAATGAACTGCTTTTCCTCACCTGGACGTCACTGCAAAGCCCTCCCGGAGGCACAGCCGACTTCATTGAGACTCACGGCACGGGCACTGGCTTGGGCGATCCCATCGAGGTGGCATGCCTGCAAGTAGCTTCTTGTTACTAGTAAACATGCTCCTAGTAGTACGGCCAGGAGCCCCTAGTAGCGTCCTTGCTCCTAGTAGCGATGCCAGGAGCCCCTAGTAGCTTCTTTTGCCTGCAAGGATCTGCAAGGTGTTCCAAAACAACTCGGCTGTAAAACTCCAAATCACCCCATCAACCAGTGATCAGATCCACGGGTCCAGGTCGTGGTCTGGAATTGTTTTGGCCCTGGTCTCTGAATCGGAGACCTTTGATCTGATTGGTTCACGGAGAGGTCGGCTTGAAATTGGGCTGGAACCCCTGGACGCACAGTTATTGTGGACATCATTGATCTTGGAATCTAGGATTGGCGAGTAAAGGGACGTTCATCAGATGAGACTTGTTCAAGTCTGTAGTTAAATGTGCCGTGTTGCCCTCACTCCAAAAAACTAATGGGGGTGAACATAAAGATCTCGGTATTGAGAACCTGGTCCTCCAGGGGCAAATGGGAGGGAGATGTGGCCGAATGCCAAGCGGTGCTCCTACTACTGGCCAGCAATCCTCAAATAGAAAGAAGAAGCACACCCTGCTGCCACAATGTGAATGTGAATACAGTAGATATCAGTAGATGTATTGGACATCGTTTCCTTTCTTCTGAGACCACAAGAGACAGCTTGCAGCAGGACAAGTGACCAACTTCAAAACAAGATTCACAATATGTGCCCTCAAGAGTCTCCGTTTGATACAACACCCTGGTCACTGAGTCTACTCAGTCATCCATCAGTAATCAGCACCTGTCAGGTGGGCGCCTTGTGCAGCACCTTTGGTGTTCAGCGGAGTTCCTCGCTCTACGTGGGCGCTGTGAAGACCAATGTCAGTCACCTCGAGGGTGCTGCGGGCATCGCAGGGCTGCTGAAGGCCACTTTTCAACAAGACCGTCACGGGCCCGGGGAAGTTTGAGGCAGAAAACTGTAGCTGGTTTCAAGAGCCTAGGGGTACTGAGTACTGAGTACTGCATGGTTGTGTTTCTTTTGATGTGACCAATCTGGCATCAATATACAAAAATACATACAATACACAACTTCAAAGCTGCAAAACCCTGCCGGATCTTGAGACCTCAATTTTGAGTTGAGGACCCCTTGGAGTTGTGCGCTGACTGAACGTAATTCTGTTTATAGGTTGTGCTGAGGCCGTGCACAATAAGTTGGATTGTGCTCCTGGCCCTATCTAGTTCTTTGTGCAAGCTAAACTTCGTGACTGCGTGGATCCATGGTGTAAAAAGATTCTTGGAGCCAGGCGATCACTGCAATGCAGCATCATCAAGTGCCTCCAAACTTGCATTTGGCCAAGTTGAATCCACACATTGACGTGGAAGACACTCGCCCGATGATGTGATTTAGCTGCTCTTCGGAGCTTCATAGGTCATTTCTAACAGATTGATTTGTGGAGGGAGACCAAGGGAAACGTAGTGAAATATGCATCTAGTTCAGCCTGGCAATTTCCATTGCATAGCTTGCAACCCATCTAAGCTAGAACCTGTTCCAATGGTTTCAGTGGCTTTCTTTTGTTCATAGACCAGACAAAGTTCAGGTTTCACCACTGGCAAGCCCAGTAGTGCAACAGAACAAGCTAGGAATGCTTGGCATGTTCTTTGTTTGCTTCCTTACTAGACATTCTAATTCTTGGAGTCTACCTAGTAGATCTTAGATTTCAGATACCTTTGTTTTGGTTGCTGCTTGCAGGTGCTCATGTTACGAAGCATAAAGACACTCAGTCAAGTTGTGGCTACAGAGTCATTTGCCTGGTGGAGTGTGAGTAAAGCGGAAAGTCCTCAAAAATTTGGTAGCTAGGTTGTTATGTAGTTCAGTTCAACATTCCCTGGTCAAGACCAGGACCATGTTGTGTTGATTTGTTGGGACGTGATCTACAGGGGTTGACAAGGGGGGTTCACTGACGCAGACGTCCCTCTGAGGAGGTGGACATGGTCTTCCCAACAGAGTCCATGGTTCAGCTCTCGCAGGAGTTGCGAGTTGCACTTGCGAGATTGATGGGCTGTTCACTTGTCACTGGTGGCATTTGCTGCCTATTGCGCGCTCATTGTTAAAATCTTTGCTGTGGACTCTGAAGTTCAGATCTTTGTGCTTGTCACCCCTTCTTTTAGAGAGCCACTAGACCAGGAGACCTTGAAGTCCTTCGGCCTCTCCTCTTTCGGCTTCGGCGGCACCAACACCCACGTCAGTGGCCGCGCTGCAGACACCGAGGCAGTCGCGACAGCTCCAGCGCAGGAGATGCTGAAGGGACCAACTTTATGCATCTCTTGGAGCTTCAGATGGCAGAAAGTTGACAATCGCCTGAACCATGCAGCTTCCTTGTCCCCCGAAATGAAAAGCTTGGGAACATGGCGGCTGTGCCCATCCCCTTCACCGGAGGAGAAGATCGTTTTCAACCGACAACGCTTTGGTTGGTCGCAGACAAAGCATCCCTTGTCGGTGCAACCGCGGCGAGGTGCGGACGACGACTTGGCAGCTCACTTTTTGCAAGGATCTAAACTAAGTTGAAATGGCTACATTGTTGACGTGTTTCTTCGGAAAAAGCATGAGGAAACTATACTGTAACGCGTTCTTGATGATGTTAAGGAGTTCCCGCAACAACAGCTCCAGGTGATTTGCGCCGGTAGGAAACTGATAGGCTTCATGAACAAGTGCGATAAAATGAGTCCTCGTTTGCAGGATAGCAAGGTGTGCATAAGGCATGGCGAGTTTTTTGAATTTCTAAGACGCATCTGTTATTTGTTCACCTCGAGTTTTCACCTCGAGTTGGTCAAATACTTTGGGTGAGACGTAGAGCCTTGACGTGTCATGTCAGGTTGAGATCAGCCTTTCTTCCTTGGCGTTTCACCAAGCGAAAAAAGGCGGAGTATCACTATCACACAACAAGCTATTCAATAGGCGCCACATCTCTTCACAGATTGACGTGTAGCCGTGTAGCCACTGATATCCACTGATCAATCCGTTTGAGGTGTTGCTCCCACTTTCTTTTGTCGAAACCGAAGACTCTCGTTGTCAGGCGATGGTGGTGTCATGGTCTTTGCTGCTCCCATCAAGGGAAAGGTGCTCCAGCTGCTCTCGCATCACATCATCTATGGCGAGATTGTGGTGCCAGGCAGCGAAGGGCACCTGCGCCGACATCGATTTGTTGGTGCGTCGCTCATAGGAGCTCGTTTTGGATACATGCAATAATTTGCGGTGGTACTGTTCATGAAAGATATCCTTTTATCACACACAGACATGGACCCCCAAAAGACTAATGATCACAAGCCTTCTCATCTCAAGTGATGATCACACGTTTGATGCCAGTGGAACCCTGAGAATTTGGCTCAAAAGTTGTCAATTCTTGACGACCCTAAGATTACATGTGGGCTGGAAATGGGGCACGAAAGAGTTTTACTGTATACCTTCGAGTCTGGGGGAAGACACGCTCCGAACATCTTAGAATTGCCTTTGGAGGCCATTGCCATGATCCATGTAGCTGCTCACATGTGCGAAATCATTTTGGTCCAGCTGGCCAAGGAACCAGATAGTTTGTGCGGAGGAGGCTCCCACATTGGTAATTGGCTTCCCTCGATTCAGATTCGACTGTGACAGGTGCGACTTACATCGAGATGGTGATTGCCGCCTGATTTAGTAAGGGGGGGGTTCCCGGACTGCCTCGCGTGTTTCCTGTTTTTGCTCAAGGACTCAAGGAGCAAATTCGGAGAGGATTCGATTTTGAAGGACAGAAGGCCTCACTTGAGCTCTTCATCCCTTTCATCACTGCTCTAGGACCGTCAGGCTTTCCAGTATTTCAACTTGAACTTACGTTCTGCATGTTCCACGCCCCTTCCAGCTGGATTCCAGCTTGCCCACTCAGGCCACCTCCGCCTTCCGGTTGGACATGGCTGGGAAGAAGTTTGCCCTGGAGAATATCGGTGCTTTAGATGCAGTTGTCAAATAGCAAGAAGATCTTTGAGACCTTCGCCTGGCAGGTGATGGCCCCATAATACACTGGACACCATGCTCGTCGCAGGGCTGTGTTATGGATATCCACTTTAATCATCACCTTTTTGAACTCTTTTTTCTGCTTTTTGCGACACTCGTCACAAACCAATGGACTCCTGGGTGCCGGGATCACTTCGACTTGACTCAGAAGTGATGGAGCGATTTAGTTGGCAGTGGTTGGCCACTGGATGTGGTGCCATCTTTTGTACAAATACTCAATTATATATAGTAAAAGGATGTAAAAGGTACTCTCCCATGAACCCACCAGAAGAGCGAGAGCTTTCTTGTATGGGGAGAAGGACACCTGTGGAAATAGGGAATACCATGTCCGCACAGAATCCCTTGTGAAACAATCAGTAACAGAAGGGGAAACTCAAGTGGTTTCGGTCGGCTTTGCTGGTTGATTGACTTGATACATGGCTTTGTAGATTATATAATAGACCGCATGTTTCAGGATTGGACAGTTGGAGTGCCTAAATTTAAATCTATCCCAATACTGTTCAGATCGCATCCTGCAGCAGAAACAGTCACGGTTTTTGCAGAGGGTTGCCCTGGCCAGGAGCCCCCAGTAGCGTCCTTGCTCCTAGTAGCAATGCCCTTAGTAGCTTCAATCAGTTCAGTTTGGTGGATGTCTAAGTTCAACTCCCAGGCGGTCCGACTGCAGGAGTCCCAGCACCAAGCAGGCCGATGGTCGTCGCATCCCCCATGAGTCCTGAATGCCCGTGCTGCGAGCACGACTGCAAACACAAAATCCCTGAGCAGCTCAGGCTTCCAAAATCCGCTAGTTTTGCGGCCTTCCAATGATGACAAGGTGCCTCCCTTGGGAGTTTGGGAAAGCGTTTTGATGGTTTTCAAGCTTGGGCCAGACCAGGAAGGGCGACAGAGATGCGAAGAACAAGAAGGGAGGCTGAATTCATCAGCTTCCAATAGTGGGTCACGAGCCAATGACAAGAAGTGGATGATTATGCAAGACTTGAAGATCCAGCTCTGCTCAATCTGCAGATCAGATCCGAAAAAGAATTGAAAAAGATGAGTGCTCATTTGTCTTGGCATTCCCCACCGAAAGGCTCACAGAAACGATGAGTGCTGGACGCTCGGATGATTTGCTTCTGCACAGAAACTAGAGTGAGATGACCCACCAGCAGCTACTGTACGTGACTGTCTATTTTTCTGCCTGGGGCTTTGGGCGGCCCCTGGGATGGGCAAAAGGAGTTGAGAGTCTTACAAAGGTGTCTTGGAGCAAGATTTCAAGAATCAAAAGTGGCTATCATGTCTTCAGAGCCATGTGGGCAGATTGACCAACAACTGCAAACATAGTATGGTGTAGTTGTGTGTCGTTATGAGATCCAAAGACCAGAATTCACAACCCTTCCATATTGGATGCATGACGCTTTTCCTTTCAAACCTTTGAAGCTGCGTTCCCTGGGCTCTTCATGACTCAACGTGAGTCCAAGACTTGGCAGGTCAATCCGGAGCTCAATCCTGGAGTGGACCTCTACTTGCAGATTCAGGACGTGTGCATATGTGTGTGTGTGACTGAAATATAAGACCGCTGCACCAACATGTATTCTTGATCGCTTCTTGCAGTCCCTGCTGGGGTTGTAGTTTCTGATGCAGCCGGCAATGCCTTGCAGACTGGATCCACCACCAAGCCAAAAAGGCACGAAAGCATAGCAAGCAGTGGTTGCAAAGACACTTCTAATCAAGGTAGGCACATCAATGTATAGCATAGGAACATTGTGTATCTAGTGCGGTGGTCTTGGTTCAGGATGTACTGGGATAAAATGTCAAGAAAGGAACTTGCATGTGGAGCATGCAGTTCAAGTCGTGAACACTTACTGTAAAATTGACACTGCGGGAGTGGTTTCCCCCTGAGGTGAGTATGAACAGAGATTCTTGCTGTATCCGTTTTTAAGCTTAAGCAAGGACGCTACTAGGGGCTCCTGGCCTTACTAGGAGCAAGAAGCTACTAGGAGCAAAGGGCATCGCTACTAGGAGCAAGGACGCTACTAGGAACAAGTGCATCGCTTCTAGTAACAAGTGCCTTACTAGTAGTAACAAGAAGCTACTAGGGGCTCCTGGCATCGCTACGAATGGAGCGATCGGACGCTACTTCCATCCCTTCAACCCACCGGCACCGGCAACTTCCATCCTCACAGGAGAACACAGGACGTTGGTCTATGAGCTCTGTGGAGCATGGCACCAGCGACGTGATCAATACCCACGCAGAGGGCAGCGTGAGCTTCTTGGGTCCCAAGGCCTGGACCAAACGTTTGTGGTTTCGATCCGGTCCGGTCGTACTCATACTAGGTATCCATGCCCAAGGAGTGGAGTGGGTGTGGGGAACCGTACCTTTTGACCCAATTCCAGGTTTGTGTTGGTTGTGTTCTCGAGCCTCCGCTGTCCCAAGCGGTATGTTGAGCGAGCAAGAGCACATGAAACCCAAGCACAAAGCACAACACATTCAAAACATTGATAGCAAGAAGTAGCGCGGCACAGCCATAGGAGTGCATGGCAGTGACTGCCAAGCTACGCAATGTGCAAAAGTGGCTGGGGAGCCTCCATGTCATGTCCACGTGTGTTGCTCCACCCCGGCGAGTGTGGACACAAGTGTACACGAGTCTCCGCTGTCCCAAGCAGTATGTTTAGCAAGAGCCAAAACTGTTTGTGGTCTTTTCTTGGAAACTCTCAGTTGTTTGCTGTCCATCTCCATGTTTTCATCGAAGAGCAGTTTCCTCGCGCCTGCTGCCTGGTGGTTTCTACCGAGCGATGTACAGAAACTCATGCTTGACAGTATCACGAATTGAATTCGTGGATGCGCAAAAACACGGCAGTTTTTGGCATGCGCAGGATCGTTGTGTGTGTGTCGTCTAAAGTGTAGCATGGTGATAGGTGGACAGTGCAAGACACGTGGCCCCACAGATCTTGGGCAGAAGGCAACCTGCAGTGGTTCCAAAGACCTGATGTGTTTCTTGGCGAGTCACCTTCTTCAATATCTACATAGACAAAGAGAATCTATTCTTCCAAGTTTCTTGAACAAATCCAAGCTGCACGTTTGGTGATGTGTGGGTTAAAGTCGGGTAAAGTCAATATTACCTTGCTCCTTCACACTGGGACTCCTTGATCAAAATAATTCAAAACATATCAAAACAGTTCTCAGGGATCCATGGTAAGGTCTTTTCACAACCAACGAACATATGTTGGCGGATGTGGTTTGTAGTCACTGACAATCCCTCATGTGCGTTCAACTGTACCAAGCCTTAGGGCAAGATGGCGGCTTGCAAAATCAGCACTTGACAAAGGCCCCCTTGTGGAAGGGTGCTTCCGCTTGGCAACTCTCGTAAACAACAGGCTCCGTCGGAGGGCATACAATGTAATTACATCACCACCAGCCTCTCCGTGATGGTTCCACCATGTTTTGAGATGCGTTCTGCCCTCTACCAACAGAAGATAAGCTGGGCAAACCTGCCCAAAGAACAAAACCATGATCAAAGTGTGGCCAAGCCATGATTCACCCAGTGTTTGGTAGTTCTGGGCATTTGATGGATGCTCCGTTTTTTTTGTAGGATTTGGGCTGCTTGGCATTGGCATTGTAGCATGCAGAACCTCAAAGTATCACTGAATCAATGGGGCACCCAGCTTGCCCAGTATTCTTTGATGTTTAGACTCACACTCCTTTTGGTGGAACTCACCCAACTGTAATCAAACCGATGGGCTGCAGGTTTAAGATATACATATGTAGCAGCGGTAGCCCCACCCGGGGCATCGCACCGGCGCCCGTTT